GATATTATAAACACCAGCACATATCAGTCTCTGGTGTTTATAGCTTCAGAGCAAACAAAACACATCATTCATAACAGAAACAGCTCGCAATAGCCACAGGAACGTTGCTGCAAGACAGGCATATGTAACGACGACTTAGCGCTCTTAAACGCGTGTGTCATTAAATACAGTCCTCCTGACAACAGGCCAGTGAAAAATCTAACAATCTACAGCAAAACCATCAATTATTACGGGCGTTATAACATACGTGTGCAGCTGGACGAAACATACACGTCGAACCCCCCCAGACGATTTAAATCCCTGACGAAACATACACGACGAACCACGGCAACGGGTTAATATGTGCTTTTGAATTTAAGCTAAAAAAGGAGACGCCCTAGCATGAGTTATAACAGGGACACTGCTCATACCTTACATATGACCACCAGCAACCCTCTAAGCAGTAAGCTGTGTGAGCCTCTTCTTGACTCGAGAGTTTTGGTGCAGGCAGTGCATAGTGTAATCTTCCCTCACAATAGATGATGTCTCAGAAACATCAATGTGAGACATATCACACCTCAACTGGACCTGGTCAAGCCATAGATTCATGCTTCTCACTCTCCCATTCATTCACAGCTTGTCATGCCTCTCAAAGACGTTGACAAGCCCCACACCAGTGTTTGATGTCCTCTCTGCAATGAAGTTGAGATCATTTTCAATTGAATGATACCTTCTCTCTAGGCTGTTTCCTGGCCCCCCACTATGATATGATCTTGCTTGGTAAGGCCTTTCCCAAGCTTCCCTATACCCTCAACAGCCTTTGCAAAAGAAACATTTAGTTTGAAAATATTACACATCACACTTATTTGCCAGGTTATCTTGAAGCATGGGGCCAATTTCCCTACCATGACTGCTTCCCAGTAATATGATCTTTCATTTACTTTTATTTTTCTCTGTCTTCACTGTGAATGATTTCAGTTCCCTGCCTTTATGCCTCAACAGAACTGGGGTATGCTAACCAACTTCCAGCACATCTGTTGCCAGTATACTGAATTTGTTGTTCAGCTGAACTTGACTAGCATGATTTGCAGAGAATCTATGGGACCTGGAGTCTTTTGGTTTTTTCCAGTTTCCTGATTTACCCTGCTCCATGAAGTTACTGCTGGCATTGAACCATACTATGAGTCGCTAGTGTATACAGGGTATGTTGAGATCTACTGCACAGTGGTAGTTATTTTTTATAGTACTGGGCATGCTACATTTTTTCCTTCTAGCAATTACTGGCCAAGGTTGTAGACTTCAGTTATGATGTCTCTGAAGTTGGAAGTTGCTTTGACTGGTAGTTTTCATTATTTTCCTCAGCCCCTCTAAGCAAATGCCAGCATGGTTTATCATAATTGCTTAATTCTGATTCTTTTTCCATCTTACAAGCATTTGTTTTATTGTTGTGTAAGAGCCAGAGTGTAGGAAAGAACATGAAAACTCTAAAAAGCTTCACAAGATAATGGAAAGCAGTATGATGATTATTATTGTTGCTGCAGCTGCTGTTGTAAGGCACAACTTCAGTTAATCATAAAACGGTTTTAATACAAGAAGTTCATGGAAGAATTTCATTTCACTGTAATTTGAGTATCTAATATTGCAAGTAGAAAGAAAACTTTTATATATATTATGTGTAATGAATTCATGTCCATGGTTTATGCCAACCGCCTTACAGTGTATACACTTTTTCACCTTATTCTGCACTTCCACACTACATGTTTCAGCACTAATGTGCCATCCTCAGGTGTCTTTTTGCACGTTAAACTATTGTACTGCATGCCATGATGTCTTCATTCTAAAATAACTAAAATCTGTATTTGTCATATATGTCGATGAATTCTAAATAATAAAACTTTTCAGGATTCATCCTACGTCGCACTCAAACACGCAAATTACGCCAGTCCTCTTTTTATGTGAGAATTCTTCCTACATACATTTGTGTATCGTGTTCAGTGTTGTGTTTTGCTCCTGTTACTGCATGTGTTGTGCTGCAGTACAATGCAGGCCGAAGTGTTTATATTAGCAATATTTACATGCCTTTGAGATGACCTCAAACAACATGACATACCAAGTCTCATGACAATCGATTCCATAATTCAAGTAATATTAAGGGTATTACATCAACAACTTAAAGAGGCTGTAGTGTTATTAATTATTCTTAAAATTACTTGGGTTTTGGAATTTGTCCATCTCATGATCTAAAAACTGGAGAACGTTTCGGAAATTGGATCTGTTTCCATCCTTGGATGAGTGGGGGGCGGGGAGCCACTGTTTGGTCCCTTACAGAGAGCTAACCACTCAATCAACAGACAACCCACACCAGTAAACTACAGATATATAAACACCCGAGACAAGCCTATGTCGAAGGGATATATAATAGGAAAGTATGCACATATTTGCAGGTAAAATAGAAAGGGAAGGAAAATTTTATGCAACAAACCGAAGTTCATGATAACCAATCCTCAAGTAAAGTTTAAAGATTGTGCTGTATCCGCTGACGAAGTTTCCTTTATCAAGCAGGGTGGCCTAGCAGTAATGCTTTCGACTTGCGGTGCTCAGGCCAAACACACGAAACCTTCGTAATTATGCGATTTTTCAGTTTTCTTCAGACCCTGCAAGCGTCAAGTCAACTTTTGGCCACTACAGCCTCAGCCAAAATCCCTCCCAATTCATCGTCGTTTAGTCTGGCTACTGACAGCATTATAAAATAACCTGTAAAAGACTGTCTTTATTCTAGCATTATCCTTCGGGTGCCGTCATTCAAATATTTTCACTGGAATAAAAATCAGGATGATGCAGCCGATAATTGTTATTGAATAGCTATCTGAATTATCAGATTTTTTCAATATTCTCTACTTTTAATCTCCTCTCATACAAACGCATCCATTCTCCGAATTCTAGAGACTTTTATTTCCAATTGTCTTTCACATGTAATCTTATTGGCTGTGATACCGACGATCCGACGATATCGGCATTCACGAAATGCTACTTTCGGGCAATGCAGTACACAGATGATAGTATATTCGTAAATTGAGCTTCTGTAGCTGGTAGCGGATCCGTGTTCTCTAGTTTGCAGTGGTATTGAAAATCGCGTCTGTTTGGCTCATATCTGACGTACGCTGACGTATGTAAGTTGTGCAGATTGCATCAGCAGTTCAGAGAAGTTCGTTCACTTTATATGTGACGTGTACTGTGAGTATAAGGCGTGGTTAGGGAGGTATTGAATAGCTTTGACTGTTTTGACGTTTGTGAGGATTTGGTTCCGTATAAGATTTAGCAAGTTTGTTAATCAGGGGTGTACTGTAAGCGTGATAATATAAGAGCTCGAGAAGATACAAGATGGCAATGGAAGACGATAAGCAAAGTCCAAAAGAATTAAGAGATGGGAACATACAGTTAGCCTTGAAGGAAAGTGGCGACCACCTGCCGGACAGAATGTTGAAAGATGAAGAACCAGATGATGGTGCTGACGAAAAGTTGGTTAACGAAGATGGTCTGTTAAAAACAAATCATGATTGTTCGGAAGTAAAATATATCTCCGTTGATTCCCAGAATGGTGATGCGAAAGTAGATGTGGAAAATGTGAAAATTGCATTTGCTGGCATGGGCAAGGAAGAATTGATGAAATTTGCAAATGATCCTTTCTGGGTTCGTCTTAGATGGTTCCTCTTCGTATTGTTCTGGTTGCTTTGGATAGCAATGCTAGCAGGTGCAATCATTATTATTGTTATGGCACCGAAATGTGCCTCACCAGCTCCGTTAAAATGGTGGGAACAGAGCCCGTTGTATCAGGTGTTTGTGCCTGCTTTCAAGGACGGAGAAGAAACTGGAGATGGAATTGGAGATCTTAAAGGTAAACCGTAGTACTGGTGTTTAGTAATCTAGTAAGATGTTTCACTTTCGGAAATGATTAATGGCCGTCATAAAATAAGTAAGGGGATGAATGTAAATGCTCTAATTAATTCACTTTAACAGACGAGGGGTGTAGATAATGTTCACGTGAATTGCGTCGCTCATTGACTTACATTGGACGTCTCTCATAATGACTTAATAGGCGTTTTTATCGGTCCGTTCGTTCCTTATGTTATATTTCATATATATGGCTATGGCTGGATGTCCTAGGGGTCGGAGTTCGAGTTACCGTAGGGGAACGATCTCCTTTTCACGTCGTCCAGACCGGTTCTGGGGCTTACCCAATCACCTATCCAATGGGTACCGGGGGTAAAGCGGCCAGGGCGTGAAGCCGACCGTTCACCTCCAACTACTGCTGAGGTCAAGAATGCGTGGATCCGTATGTCCAAGCTTCCGTATTTCCTCATGGCACAGTGCTTAATTAGTTAAGCACAGGGACAACTTTAGCATAATATATTTGACATTGTGAAATTTTTGAGCAAGTTATTGACATATGTGCAGACATTGCAAAGAAAGCATGAGATTGCTATCCTCCTTTTTTTACTAATCAAAAGGGCAGAGCTCTGTAGCAGTGTATGATGAATGGTATTTGACTTACTGTTGGCATGTCAAATTTTAATTGTGAAGGTACTGTTGCTCGATAGCTGTGTTTGGACAACCACGAACTGTTGGTGTGTTCTGCTAATGGTGATGAAACACAGTTGTGTAGTAAGTAAGCAGCAAGCAGGAATTAATGATTAATATGTAGGTAATTAGGAGCTGGGATAACACAATCAGTATAGCTACTGGTAACGGGCAGGACAACTGAGGAGTTAGAGTTTAGAGTCCCTGTAGGGTCAAGAATTTTCTCTTCTTCATGTTGTCCAGAGCGGCTCTGGGGTCCATCCAACCTCGTATGCAGGGGGTACTGGGGACTCTTACCCTGGGGTTAAAGCGGCAGACTCATGAAACTGACCACTCAACCTCCATCTAGTGCCAAGGTAAAGAAAATGTGGATCTATACATCCACTACCCTACATACCTTCATGGCATAGTGCTTAATTAGTTAAGCACAGGGACAACTTTACCTTTTTATTTAGGTGATTCTGTATTATTAGATAACATAAATGACATAAAACTTTACTACCATGTTAATGCTGCCAGTTATAGGAAGTCCACATGTAAACACACAACCCAGAGCCTAATCTTAGTTGGTTTTTCGATATTTATTCTTATTTATGTTTAAAAATGGAACCTGTATGTAACCTTGTGTATTTCTTGAGGGCAAATTCTAAGATCAGGCTTTAGGTCTTGCTTTTACAAATGAACTTCTAAGGTTGGCAGTGCTGATGTGGTGGATAACATGGCAGTGAAGGTACCTCCAGTGACTGAGGTTAGCTCTTGTTAATGGGCCCAACAGAGTAGGTGTCTCCCCTCTCACCTGAGGATGGAAAGAGATCCAGTGTTTTGAAATGTTGGGTTTTTAGAATACCAGACAATGGGCAAAGTCCAAAAACCCAGTAATCCTGAGTACTTTATTTTAATTAAGGGAGTGGTCATTTTAATGCTGTCAAGAAGATATTGATATTGCAGGTACATGTTGGGAAGCAAAGCATGGAACTTCCACCTGGGAAGCACATGTTTGAAGCACAGAACCAGTGATTGTTGTATGCATGTTAAATTGTTTACAGATGCCAATAGGATTTTCTTTGCTAAGCATTTTGCCCATTTAGTGCCAAGGTCGTCAAGTAGTATACCTAAGGCACAGGGCTTCTTCACACTTAGCCTCTTGCTGTACCTGGTGAACAGCTGTGTATGTGAATAGAATCTGAACGTTACATGGCCATAGGTGCTAGGCCACATGCATGTGGCATTTTAACATTTTTATCTTAACCCACAAAGATGTTTTAAGCTGTGATTGGTTTATTTACCCTGACTTGCATTTGTTCTGTGTCTGGAGAAAAGGAATAACTATGTTGATTGGACCTTTCTGAGTAGCCTTTTTGTATGAGATTAGAGGAGCCCAGTGTATGAAATATTGTTTGAATAAAAACGTGTGAATGGATAATGCCCAGGATGTTAATAATTGTTGCTGTGTTTGTACTGATTGAAGTTGATTGTCAGATCAGTTGGGATAAGTTATTGGATAGGATAGCAAGCCTGCACAGCATGTGGCAGTGTTGACACTGAAAAGTAAATTTGACTGTGCTTAATTAAACGCCATGCCATGGAGATGTGTTGGAGGAGGGGTATAGATTCATACATTGTTAACTGGCTGAGGATGAAGGTGAATGGTTATCTCTATGCCTCAGCATCTTTTACTCCCAGGAAAATAGATCCTGATACCCACTGAATAGAAGTCTTGGTGGGGGCCCATAACCTGTCATTACACAGCGGAACTTGGCAGTAAACCCAGAAATATACTATGACTGACCTAAGTTACTTTCACCAGTGTTAAGGTTCATGCATATAACACTTTATTCAGTACTTCAAGTGACAATTTTTATTCATATGCCAGTGTGAAATGTGCTGATGTGCCAGTTACGATGTATAGGGTGTAGTCGGACATAAAGAATTCTGTCTTCTGGGATGTAATGTCATGTAGACTGTTGAAAGTCAGCCAACATTTCAGAGAACATGTAGGTTGACTTTCAATGGACTACACAGCTTTATGTCCCAGAAGATAGAACTCCTCTTGACCACTGCTCTGAGAACATGAAGTCAGATATAGTCGGAGCTAGATCTGGAACCAAGGCATTAGGATTTTCAACAGACCATGAGAATTTGTATGGTGATCTCCTTGCAGATTCCCACAACATTTTGAATTTGTGGAAGAATTACATCTCAGTTATTAATACCTGATCCCAGCCCTTTTGAAGTTGAAATTGCTATTGTAAAATCGAAAAGGTATGAATCACCAGGTAGTGATCATATTTCAGCAGAACTTATTGAAGCAGAAAGCGAAATATTAAATTCTGAGATCCATAAGTTAATTCAATCTATTTTGAATAAGGAAAAAATTGCCCGGTCAGTGGAAGGAGTCTATTATTGTACCAGTTCACAAGAAGGGTGATAAAACTGTCTGTAGTTATCATCGGGGGATATCACTGCTATCAACTTAATGCAAAATTGTATCCAATATTCTTCACTCAAGGTTAAGTCCAAACATATATGAAATTACTGGGGATCATCAGTGTGGGTTTCTATGTAAAACATCAATACGGATCAGATTTTTGCATTCGTCAGACACTGGAGAAAAAATGGAAGTACAATGAGACACTACATCAGCTTTTCGTAGACTTCAAGAAAGCCTATGATTCAGTTAGGAGGGAAGTATTGTACAATATTCTGATAGAGTTTGGGATACCCATGAAACTAGTTAAGCCGATTAAAATATGTTTAAACGAAACTTATAGTAAAGTCCATATAGATAAACATTTGTCTGATAAATTTCCCATCCAGAATGGTATAATACGAGATGCTTTATTGCCACTCCTTTTCAATTTTGCTTTAGAATATGCCATTAGGAATGTCCAGGGAAACCAGGTGGGACTGAAATTAAATGGGACACATCAGCTGTTGGTCTGTGCCAATGGTGTGAATCTACTGTATGATAATATAGAGACCATAAAGAAAATATTGAATCTTTAATTGGTGCTAGTAAGGAGATTGGTATAGAAGTAAACACAGAGAAAACTAAGTATGTGTTGCTGTCTCATCACCAAAATGCAGGGCAAAAACTTGATATATCGATAGAAAAAGATGTTTTGAAAATATGGCACAGTTCAGATGTTGGGGAACGACGGTAACAAATCCAAACCTGATTCAGGAGGAAATTAAGAGGAGACTGAACCCAGGTAATGCTTGCTATCATTCAGTCCAGAACATTTTGTCTTCTTGTCTGCTGTCCAAAAACATAAAAATTAGAATATACAAAACTATATAATTTTGCTTGTGGTTCTGTATGAGTGTGAAACATGGTCTCTGACATTAAGGGAGGAACATAGACTGAGGGTGTTTGAGAACAGGGTGTTGAGAATATTTGGACCGAAAAGGGATGAAGTGACAGGAGGTTGGAGAAAACCGTATAATGAGGAGTTTCATAACTTTTACTCTTCTCTAAGTATAATTAGAATGATCAAGTCAAGGAGGATGAGGTGGGCAGGGCATGTAGCACTAATGGGGGATACAAAGAATGCATATAGGATATTGGCGGGAAGCCAGAAAGAAAGAGACCACTGGGAAGACCAAGGCTTAGGTGGGTGGACAATATTAAAATGAACCTTAGATAGATAGGATAGGATGGTATGGATTAGACTGATCTGGCTCAGGATAGGGACCAGTGGAGGGCTCTTGTGAACTCGGTAATGAACCTTCGGGTTCCATAAAATTCTGGGAAATTCTTGAGTGGTTGCACAATTGGTGGATCTCAAGAAGGGCTCAGTTCCGTAATTGGAATGAGAATTTGTAATAATAATCAATATTTATGTTGGCAAATCTGCTGTTTATCCTTGAGAAGGCAATCAATAGCTTATGTGGCCTGCATTGGCCTCTTATACTACACTTGGGTCAGGGAGAGAATGAACATGGGTGGTGGGAGTTTAAGTGGGCTTCCTGCTCCTCCACTTGACACCCCCCTCTTGTCAGCTGGTAATTTTCACTTTGCCTTATGTGTAAGGAGCTCGTGTATTGCATTGTAATTCATAATTGTCATTAACTCTAATAAAGCATAACACTTTACAACAAACCCAAGACAACATAAAGAGAGGGAACCATAGGTGGAACAGAAGCTAGAATACAAGTGGCATTTGGTGAGAGTGAGGGAAGGCCCATAAAGGAGAGATAGCTCCCACCCAAGTGAGTGGGGAAGAAGGTGTTTTTTCCTTCCCTGACCACAGTTTATTACCCTCACCAGGCTGAAGTTTTCCTCACGTTCTGTTCCTTTAGCCACTCAGAAGTGAGGTTACCTTTGATCCTTTTCTGAGTTTTTTTTTTCTCAGGCTTGCAGTCAAAACTTGATTATATTAAGGATCTTGGAGTTAAGGGAGTTGCACTTTCATCAATCCTAAAAGTGTCCACTGATGGATCAGATGAAGCTGTTGAGGATTTCAAGGACATAGATCCTCGTTATGGGACTCTTGCTGATTTTGAAGCATTGGTTGCATCTTTGAAAAGCATGGGTAAGTGTTTTTGAAATGTTCAGTGCTATGCTAGCCTATTGCATGTGCCAGACAATTTTACCACATGTGTACGAAAGGAACGTCTCTGGATCACACTTTTTTCTTTACCTTTGTATTCATCCAAGCATGTTGGTTGTAAAATCCAACTTTCTTGCTGCACTAAGCCATAATAATTTACTGAAATAGATGTTCTTGGACTGATTACTAGGTAGACATGTGCATTTCATGTAGGCAGAGAATGAAGTTGCAGTTGCTTTTAAATAAAATGTACTTATTTGTATTTGAGGTCTTTTTGTTGTTTGAAGGTCTCCATCTGGTCCTGAGCTTTGTACCGAACCACTCAAGCAGGAGACATCCCTGGTTTGTCAAATCAGAAAGTAATGATACACAGTACAAAGACTATTACATCTGGTCTTCTGACCCTCAAAAGTATGATTCAGAAGGCAAACCAGAACCACCAAACAACTGGGTGTGTATGAAACTTTGTGAAAAATGTGACAGTCCAAATAAATTTAAGGAATAAATTATGGTATTCTTGTATTTTGTAGAGACCCCTAATACACAGTTAAACAACATTAATTTAAGGGTGGGGGTACTTTATTCTTTGTTTAGTTTGTTAGCCTTCAAAGGGTTCCAAGTTTTACAAAATTTTAGTAAAGCACCCATAACAACTGTTGTTTTTCTCCACTGCAGAAAAGTGTACGGGGAGGCTCAGCTTGGGAGTGGAGTGAAGGAAGGAAAGCATTTTACTTGCATCAGTTTGGCGTTGATGAACCTGATCTCAACTTCACCAACCCTGCTGTTGTAGAAGAATTTAAGGTAATGGACTTCCATCCTGCCTTTGGATAGGAGTCATAGGGGTCATTCATTGTATCTTTAAGTGTTCCATCATTTATTTTGAACAAATTGGTTGACTTATGAAACATTTTATTTGAAGTCCCTATATAATATTTTGCAGTCACAACAAGATGGCTGTCCATAAAATAATCTAAAGTGGTGCCAGTACCAGTTTGTTCTTACTTCAACAAACCCATATTATCCATAGAAAATTTAATATAGGTCATTATTACTGATAACAGTGTTCAAATTAAATTAAAGACAAAAGTACAATTCTAATGATGCTAATTTCTAATAAACAGATAATCATGCTTTGTTCAGCAGTGCCAACGCGTACAGACCAAATAACAGTCTGCAAAACGAGGTCAGATACGAATAGCTATCAGAAATGATTTGAATGGTCCTACTTTGACACTGCACTTTCTTGTTCATTATGCTCTGTGTGGATGTTATTACGAGGGTGAGTCAAATGAAAACCTTAAATTTTTAATAAAAAACTAAATTTCGCGCCATTATCCTGTAAGTTAGTAAGCGTGCTACAAACAGCGTGCAGAATGGCCTGTAGGTTGCAGCATAGTGCAGATGGATGAACACCATCACAGCACCAGTATAAGATGGCTGCCCCACTTGAGACTTGTACCAGGGAAGAATAGCGTTCTGTTATTCGGTTTTTTTGTAGTGAAGGTGTGAAACCTATTGAAATTTATCAAAGAATGAAGTTTCAGTATAGTGATGCATGTTTGTCACAGCAGCAAGTGTACGAATGGAGTAGGAAGTTTGCAAATGGTGTGACTTCAGTGGAAGATGCTCCTCGTCTGGGTCAGGCACATCGAGTTGTGACTCCAGAGAACACTGCAGCAGTTGAAGCCATAGTAAGGGAAAACCGCTGAGTGACATTGAATGAAACTGCAGCAGGTTTAAACATTAGTCATGGTTCAGCACACCACATTGTGCACGGTGTGCTCCAGTTTCACAAAGTGTCTGCAAGATGGGTGCCACGGCAGCTGACTCCTGAATTGAAAGACCGACGTATTGATGCTTGTGAAGAACTTCTGCGGCGCTTTGAACGAGAAGGTGATGACTTTCCTTGCAAGAATCGTTACTGGGGATGAAACCTGGGTTCACTTCCACCAACCGGAAACGAAGAGAGCGAGCAAGGAATGGCGCCATTCCTCATCTCCAAAACCGAAGAAGTTTCGAACAAAACCATCAGCAGGGAAGGTTATGCTGACTCTCTTTTGGGACGAAAAAGGCGTCATCTTGGAGCACTACATGCCTAGAGGGACCACTGTCACCAGTGCATCATACTCAGATCTCCTAAAAAATCATCTTTGGTCTGCAGTCAAATCAAAGCAACATGGATTGCTGTCCACAGGTATCCTTTTGCAACGTGACAATGCAAGGCTCCATACTGCCCGTTCAACAGTTGCAACAATCAGTGACCTGCATTTTGAGTGTCTTCCTCATCCGGCATACTCACCAGACCTTGCCCCAAGTGATTTCCATATGTTTGGACCACTCAGAGAAGCAATGGGAGGAAAGACGTTCCGTTCTGATGAAGAGGTATGCCACGCGGTGCATGAGTGGTTGTGCAGACTACCAAAAGAATTTTTTTCTGGAGGAATTCATGCACTTTGTAGGCGCTGGAGGACTTGCATTGAGCGTGGGGGAGATTTTATTGAAAAGTGATACAGCTTTGTACCACTTGTGCACAATAAATAATACTCAAAAAAATATTTAAGGTATATAATTAATATTTGACTCGCCTACATACTTCCATACTCAGTTGGCATCTTATATTATGCATGTTTGATGTCTGTAGTGTTTTATGTATAGATCTGCCATAAGAAAATTAAAGATTACACAGTGTACTTGTTGTAACACTACACGCACAGAGGAAACACAGCATGGACCCCGCAGTGTGAAAGTAGCATGAGTGAAGTGTGGGGGATATAGTCTCACTCGACAACAATGTGCAGTACTAGCATGTAATAACATGTATCAGGTGATCCAGTGCAGCGGTTTCAGTCGGTTAACAGTTGCCTGAAGATAGCTTTATAGGGCTGAAACATTGCAACAGTGAAATAAAATGTGCTTTTAATGATATCTTAATAAATTTAAATGTGATTATAATTACATTTTAAAATAAAACTTAATGTTGCATTAGACATGGAAGCAAGTGGATGAGTGATGCATCAGTGGAACAGGATGCAAAAATATAATATTGTAACAGTATAGTTCAGAGAGAGGCCAGTGTTTTAAAGGAACTTATTGCCACTGTTTTCAGAGTTAGAGTAAACCAGACAAAAAATCAGCAGAAGCAGATAGTAGGCTTGGCTTGCCTTGCAGCATGCTTCTGCTGGTTTCTTGCCAGTTATTCTTTGACCTGGAAGATGGAGGTGACATGCTCTCCCAAAATGTCAGGCTTGCCTTTGTAATGCCACAACCCAGAAGACCATAGTCTGCATGGTCCTCACCATGAGAACCTCAAATCCAAAATTTACATGACATTTCCTTTTGCAAATGAGCATCCCAAAAGATGGCCATATTTGGATGAAAATGTAAGGTTTTATGATTATTTATTAATTAAAAACTGGATACAGTAGGTGGTACTCTTTATGTTTAGTTTATCTGTAGGAATCAGTCTACAGCAGCACATCCCCTGATGGTAGTTCATGACAGCAAGACTGTGTGCAGTATTGGTTGTTTTTGTACACAGAGTTAGCACTGGCTGTTCAGTTAAATATCTCAATTCTGTAATCTCAGTTCATCATTGTACTTCATGATGGTGAAACCATGTGTATAAAAATATTATGTTTACAGCGGTGAGGTCATGAACTCCATTTTATGCTTCACTGCTCATTTTTTTGAAGGAATGAGGTAAAATACAGTAACAGTCTTGAAACCGTGGATGTACTTTTTTCTGATATATCAAAACCAGCCTTTTCGAGGTCACATCTTCCCCAGTTTGCATTTCATAATTTACATATTGTAGAGGGCATGCCTTATGAACTAAAACTTGAAGTAGAGTAGATGATTACAGCATGGTACACACATTTTGACACATAACTCTCACCACTTTAAATTTGTTCTGTGATTGTGATGTGCTGCTGTTTCTCTTGCAGGAGATATTTATGTTCTGGCTTGATCTGGGTGTGTCTGGGCTGCAACTGGAGAAGGTTGAGTATCTCCTGGAAGATCCCAGTAGGCAGGATGAAGTCCCTAGGGCTCCACCTGGTGCAACCCATGATGAATATGACTTCTATAATCATGCAAGAACAGTGAACCAACCAGGAATTGAGGATGTTCTGGCAGACTGGAAGAAAGTTGTTCTGAATTACACAGATGGCACAAAGTGAGTTCAATTTATTTGATCTGGAACCAGTTATGTTTGGCAGCTGACATGTTTCAGTAGCTAAGGCAGTGAAGTACCGTAATGAAACAGTATGGTAGAATGGCAGTCATCGAATTAGTGGCAGAGGTGGTTATAATATTTGAAAATTTGGATCAGTGGATTAAATTCTTATCCATGAAAAAAGAGACTATTATAACTATAATAATGTACTGTAAAGTAAAGTTATCCTTGTAACAGGCTGTGGAGGCCCATAGGATTATGAGAGGTTCTAGACAGTTGTCTTCTAGACACTTGGCTCGCAGATGGTGGCAAGGTTGTCAGCCTATTGTGCTGGCCACCATTTACCTCCCAGGAAGATTCCTGGTACTCATTTTTGTTAGAGGCTGAGTCAGCCCCAGGGCCATAGTGTGGCTGGAAGGATTAGGTAAATAAAAAAAAAATCCACCTCATTGGGACTTGAACCCATGACCCTCTGGCTTGTAGCATAGTGCCTCAACCAACCGCGTTACCACATACCCCATAATGTACTGCACTATTCTGATGATAAAAACTGAGACACTTCTAACTAAAACAAGTGTGACATGAAAAATTAACACATTTAATTATACATTAACATTTTCAAACACTTTATTTGCTCGTTCAGCTGACACATTCTTCAGTTGGTATACATTTAATTGTCAATTTGGATATTTGGCGTTCTACTATATTTACTCATGCGTTAGGGAGTTTCTTTATCAGTTTTATGAAATGTTTTGGTTGAGTATTAAGCACTCTAACTTCATATTTGTGAGGTTCAGTTTGAGATCTCAGTCTTGAGACCAGTTATAGCTGGAGGTGTTTTGTGCTTTTACTTGTTTTTTTCTGGGTAGATGCCAGCACAGTACTTTAAATTAGGACTTAACTGTTTTTCTTCCAGTTCTTTTTCGTTTCACTGCTAATTGTCCAGTCATTGAACACTGTAGTTCAGCAAACAGAATTGTTGCTAAATAAATCAAGAACAGAAATAATACAGATTAACAAGTTATCAAATGATTAATGTGGTTTTTCTTGTTTGTGTGCAAATAATTTGCAAGTATGAAACCATATAAACAGAAGCATATCAGATAAGGGAATGCTAAACTACTCAGGACTGTTGGAGCAGTGATATGATGAATGTTCCCATGCAGAGAAATCTGTATTGCAATTTTGGAAACTATTTTTATTGTTGATAATGTTATTACATATAATGTTATTTACATTACCTGTCAAATTTGGTATGGGATAATCATTTCTGTCTTTAATTTTCCATAGTATTGTCATATTTATATCTCCTTCACTTTTTCCAGTATTTATTTTTTGTTACCCATCATCATTCCCTTCTTCTTCCCCATATTTCAAGTTAAAATAAGCTCTCTCACCTCCATTCTCCCATACCCTCTCCTTTTTCCATCTTTTCTCTCATGTTCCTTTCACATCTCATATGTTTGTCCTGTTGTCATTTGTCTCCCTCATGTGCCAACAGTAGTAGGTAGTTTGGGGTTTTTCTCTTTCCCAAGCTGCAGCACAAGATAGTTGCAGTTTTCCCCATAGTATGGTAAAGACAGATAAGTCTGGGTTTCACCTGCTATTCTAGCAGCAGCAGAAAGTAGTTTGAATTTCCCCCTTATTCTGACGATGATCCCCTTGTGACACCCAGCACTGGAAAAGTAAGTTGGCTTGGACTTGAACCCATTCACATAGCAGCAAAATTAAAAATTTTTCTGGGATTCTCTCCCCAAGAGGAACGTCTTTTACCTTTGCCAATTTTTTCTGTAACACTGTTTGGATGGAAGGAACAGGTCCTGACAGACAAAGAGATGGACTTTGGCAATTATACAAGAGCTATTAAGAAAGTAATCTTTTTTTTTTTTATTATTTTGGACAACTAATGCAGGAGTGTGGGATTGCTCACGCATGCAAGGTAGCATCATATGACTCATCATAACTTGTCACCAAGTGCTTGCTGCTGCTTTCTACAGAGTGAGTGATGATGTGTCCTGTGATTGATAAACCTGCCAGCTGTGAAATTTGCGCTGTTATCCTCTTTCTTCATGCTAGAAACATGAATGCTGCTAAAATTCATCATGAATTATGTGTGGTGGTTTATGGCCAAAATTTAACGAGTGAAGGAGCTTTGAGACGGTTGTGTAGAATGTTCAAAGATGTCTGGGCGAACAAATGTTCAGAATGAAGAGTGAAGTGGTTGGTACCACAAAGATGGCCATGAATTTCTCAATCACACTGTAACAAGTGATGAAACATGGGCTTCATTTGGGAAAGTTGAAACTAAAGAACAGTCAAAGCAGTGGATGCACCTACATTCACCAAGCAAGCCAAAAATGTTCAGACAGTTGTCTGCCAGAAAGCTGATGGCAGCTGTTTTCTGGGACAGGAAAGGAGTACTAATGGTGGGATTCATGGAACAAGGGACCTCAATGCCAGAAGTGTATTTCAAACACTATAGATTGGTAGGGCTATTCAGAATAAAAGGTGTGGAATGCTGACATCCAGTGTAGTCCTCCTCCATGACAACGTATGTCTGCATTCAGCTGCTAATACTCGAGCACTGCTGGAGCATTTCAACTGGAAATTGTTTGACCACCCTCATTAACAGCTATCACGGCACTCTCACCTTGCCTTTGTAAAGACTCAGTTTATACTCATCGCCCACACACATTGGTCACACCTATAGGTAATTCTTTCTTGTATTAATTTATCTCAGGGTTGTTTAATTTATTAGGAGGTGAGGTTTGTTGATTCGGTAGAGCTGAGGGTCTCTATCTCAGAGCCTTGAACGGGCCACAACTCGGAGAAGCAGGAATGAACACTAAGCTACACAAGCACGTATCAAGTTTAGTTGATTTATTATTGTTGAACATTTGGTTAGCCACTTCTTAATACAACTTTGAAATCAGTAACTTTAGCTTATTTGTCGGNAGTCGCGGGGAGGAGTTGCAACACTCCCCGCGACTGCATCCATTCTGCGGTGGTATGACTCACGGCAAATTGCAGCCGCGGTGCGCACTTGATTGTACGCACTGTGTCTTTCTTTGATTCATAACACTTTATGCTTGTAGTCTTACTTGTTATGTCTTACAACTGACTAACACCAGTATACTTCTGTATACAAAGAGAGCGGTGAGTGACTAACACTAGTTTTACGTCTGATTTCTTCAAGGGCCAGTGTGTAACTTTTACGTCTTGCTTCTATGAGATCCATTGTGTAACTTTTACGTCTTGTTTCTACGAGATCCGGTGTGTAACTTTTACGTCTTGTTTCTATGAGATCTGGTGTGTAACTAACTTTAACAACTGACTTCCTTTTGAACCATCAGGTCCTTGTTCCATCAGCATTTTGGCTCTGTCATACCCTTAAATTTTAGTGATTGGTTACATTTGAAAAATAGTATCTTAATTAGCTATTCCTCCACTCCATTTAAGGATTACAAGGAGTTTAGGTTTCTGAGATCCAGCGTACTTTCTGTTAGAATCTTTACAAACGTTAAGCTTGGCTTGGGTTCTTAAAAACTCCCTTCTTTTAAATTATGACATGCACAAGCTGTCAAGTATCGAATTCACAAAAGACTCCGTAGTTACACTTTCAAGTAAAAATTCTACGAAATCTTGACGGGGTTTCTTGCTGTTCTACTGCACATGTGAGAAGATGCTAACTCTTACATGCAAGAATAGACCTATGTCTCACTGCACTTGTTCATTGCATCCAATTGTGAACAATTAAAATTTCTAATTAATAAATTTAATTACATTTAAATGGTTGCATGGCAGTGGTGTGGTTATACAGCCCTTATCTTGCTCCAAGTGACTACCACCTGTTTACCTACCTGAAGAACTGGTTGCAATCACAGCAATTCAACAGTAATGAGGAGTTGATGGAAGGTGTCGAAACATGACTGAGTTCACTGGCAGCAGACTTCTTTGACACAGGCATACAGAAACATATTGCCTGATATGATAGGTGCCTCATTTGGGTCGGTGACTAAGTTGACAAGTAGATTTTAAGTATGTATGTATTTTTTTGTGTATAATATTTCTTTTCTCATTGTTTTGTTAACAGCTCACCAGAGGTTACTTTCAGGATAGCCCTTGTGTTTCTAATTTTCTTTTTTCTTTTTTTTTCTGTGGCACTACAGCCCCAGTGGGCCTAGGGCTACCTCCATGAAACTCTCCATTTCGCTTTGGTTTACTAGAGCTTACACATATGGTAGGACTCCTTGGGCGGGTGATCAGCTCGTCGCAAGGCCTCTACCTGTACACAGTCACAGAAAAACGCACACAAACATCCATGCCATGAGTGGGATTTGAACCCACGATCCCGGCTTCCAAGCGAACGAAGACAGTGCATGCCTTAGACTGCTCGGCTACCGTGACTGGCTAATTTTCTTATAGTGTGTCTAACAACATCAAACAAGGGAGCCTTAATATTGACTGCTTATTTGATTAGTATGGGCTGACAGTTTTAAGTTCTTTCAGTTTGATTTAGCATCAACTAACAGCCAAGAGCTGGAAGAGTTCATTGTATTAATTATTCAGATTATCTAAACTAAGACATATCCAGCATTATAGAATATCACTTCCTTTTCTCCAGTTAGCTACATTTTATATTTTATGAGTAATTTGAAGAACATTAATGTTAGCATGTCATTTATGATTCATTTTGCAGAATGCACCATTTAAGTATACATTGTATACTTCTACAATTATTTTGGACCTATACTGTCACAGAGATCTCTATGTATGGGGTAAATTATATGGGCTGTACTCTTTACAGGATGCTCTCTGTTGTTGGAAATGTGCTTGTAGAATCTCTTGTGGATCAAAAGAGCAACACTTCTGATGTTCTTGTTGATCTACTGCAAACAAATAAAGGATTCCTTCTGTTGAAAAATGGTTTTAATGCATCTGATCTTAGTAAGGCAATTGAGAAGTACCTTGACAAACTTCCTAATAATACACGTCCAACTTGGCAGGTAAGATTTCTTCAGTGTACTTACCATTTATTTTAGTGTGAAGATAAACTTGAGAGTTTGTTCTGAATGATAATGTGACATGCAAACCACAGACATCTCTGTAGGCATTTTGTCACAAGAAGAAAGTCTGCAAAGAGAATGATCATAGAGTTGTATTTTGTCAAAGAGAGCATTATGATTATGGCAGAATAATTTATAACAAGAATATGGGGAAATATGTTTAGGTACTACTGGGCCTACAATAAGTAGTTTCTGAACTGGCGTTGCTGTGATGTCTGGACAAGCTAGCTACAGAATGTTGGATTTCAGAGTTGTGAATGTAAATGGGCTTTTGAGTTGTAATGCTCTGTACTTCAGAAAGAGTAGGAGCTGAGTTCAACTCCTGCTGCTGGTTTATTGTTTCCCTGCTCTTCAGCCCTGATGGTGTATTTGAGATATTCTTTAAAAATGTTGGCTTTTTCCAAACAACATGGCATTACAACTCAGAAGTCTGTGCTCTTCAAGTTACAGAATCTTAATTACTGTGAATCCATTATTTGATAAATTAATGAGATTTATCAAGGCACATTTGACAGATTTTCAGAAATGCATGTGTCACCATATGTAAAGTAGTCATTGCAGTTATTTGCTGTGTAAATGAAAATGGCCAGATATTTTTTTTGTAAAGTTATCCATTATCAAATATCTTGAAAATCAGTCCAGCTTTTCATTTGTGTAGATGGATTGAGTGAACATGACAGGTGCTTTGCAGATTTTGTGAACATGGTCTACCGAGTGTACAGATAAGCCATAAACTAGGTATTATATTTATGGGTAATCATGTGTATACTGTACTTTGCCTGAATATCACAATACAGATCCTGCTTTTCTAATGAACATTGAACATGTGGAAGAAATTTGTGCAGTGTCCTGTGTTCATGTTGTTAGCATGCTCAGTTGCAATAAGGGAATAGAAACTGATAAAAATGACCACTAACTAAGTTTTTCCTAAAATGGGTATGTAGGATTTGTGTTAAAATCAGTGCAGTGTTTCAGGTGATACGAATACCAGCAAACATTTGTTCCTTATTAGCATATGCATCAAGTCTCACATTTGCTAGTGAATGCATTGGGTTTGCTGGGTGCTGAAACCAAGTATGAGTACTGGCAAATGGTAAAGAAAAAAAGAAAAAGATGCTGGTTGAGACTACCAAGAAAAGTGAAAGGTTTCGTTCAGTAGTATGCCTGACAGCTAATTAGGGCTACTTTCTTTCCAGAAAATAAAACTCTGCAGACTTTTTTTTATTTATTTGTGATATTGAGCAGATGTGTCTTGTAGTAATACTGTAGGGCCAAATTCATAGATACTGAGGTCAAATTTAACTCATATCTTTCATGGTTTTCCTTAGTCTTCATGGAAATGTTGGGATAGGTCCTTCAAACAGTTAATCAGTTCATCCTTTAAACCCTTATGTACCTCGCTTCACATCTTGCTGCACAATGTATAATCTTTTCAGTCAATAGGTGATTGTTAAATAACCCTAGAGCCTGTAAATCTTGTTTTCTCAAAGTAATATTGGAGGCAAACTGTAGACAAATTGTGCTGAGATTCGATACTGTTTTCACTTTTCAGCTAACTCCACCTCTGTCATCACGCGTTGCATCTCGCCTGTCTTCTGATTTCGTGGATGGACTCAACATGATAGCCATGCTTTTACCTGGAACACCCATCACTCTTTATGGAGAAGAGATTGGTATGGCAGATGCCTCGGGTATTGTAGAGCATCCCACAAGATGTGTCATGTCATGGAGTAATGCCACTAATGCAGGTATATGCCAGTTACTAATTAGTGTTTATGTATCAGTGCTTTTGCTTACGGCAGAATTGATGCTTTGAAACTTCATTAAGGTCACATTACAGTGAAACATTGACAGTAATGTTGCATGCATGTCTGAGGTTCATGTGGCTGCTATTAACTACAAGAATATATGGAGCATGTCAAGGTCATTTTCCAGTGACATGGTTTTCATACCAAGTTTAATCAAAATGATTCATTTAATTATCCATGTTAGGTCGGTCCCTTGTCATTGGATAACCTGTCTTCAGGAGTGTCACTTGTACTGAAGTTTGTATGTATTTACCATATTTTTTTTTAAATATTTTGAGAAGTGTTGAAACTGTTGCTTCTCTCAGACAAGAGGTGGAAGAACTAAATTATTCCATTTCAGAGTCATGCATCATTACTCTTTTTTATGATGGATTCTGAAAAGATTCTTCACATCCCTCTTGCTTTTTAATTCAATAATGAGTTTTCAAGAAACTCTGTGAGTTTGTCATGCTGTTGAATGTGAGACTGATACTGTTCTTCATACATCTTCCTTTAGTGATACTAACATGGTGATGAAGCATACTTTTGAAAGCAGCAGCACCACTGATATCCCTTAATATAGGATTATGAAATTTCATAAGATAATACAGTTTCAAAAAATTAGATTTAATGTTTTCATTATGATGAAGATGCATATTGTGGTATCCTGGGTTAATAACACTGCGTAGTCTAGCGTTTGGGTATGTACATTCTATTTTTTTTCTGCATAAAATACAAAATAACACAGCAGTTGAGAAATCTGTTATTTTTAAAGGTAAAAAGTTAAAGTTGTCCCTCTGCTTAACAAATTAAGCACTATGCCAAGAAGGTTTATGGGGGAGTGGAGGTGTAGGTGCACACTGTTATTCAATAAATAATTGTACCTAGGCTTTTGACATTTTATTTTAATGGGCTGTGCTGAACATGTGTACATATTTTGTGAAATGTGTGCTGATGTGGATGTGTGTGTGTAGGCAGCACTAACCTCTGAGTTTGTGCCAGCCAAATGTGAAGTAGCCTTTCATGCCCATTGTGCTTATATTTTGTCACCATGCATGCACATGTTAAAATATGCCATTTATGAGAGGTTTGCTTTCATTTCCCAGGTTTCAGTGATTCTGCTGCCCCGGCTTACCCCACCAGTAACAACTATGAAACCGTAAATGTCAACTCAGAGGCAAGCATGGCTGGTAGCAGTCTGTCTGTATACAAGGAGCTGGTGGAAGCTCGCAGCACACCATCCATCATGTATGGTACGAGTGAACTTGCTGTCATCAGCAATGACACAGTGTTTGCATTCACAAGGTATGTTTGTTGTGGCAGAAGTCACACACAGTCAAAAATAAAGAATCTGCTCCTCTCAGGCTGGTGAGGACATGCTTTCATTTGATAGGTGTTTGTGATTATGGCGGAGCCACAAATTATATGTAATGACCAAGTCTAGGAGGATGAGGTGGGCAGGGCATGTAGCGTGAATGGGCCAAAGAAAAATGTATGTAGGATATTCGTGGTAAAGCCAGAAAGAAAGAGAGACCACTAGGAAGACGAAGATGTAGGTGGGTGAATAATATTAAAATGGATCCTAGAGAGATAGAATGGGGTGGTGTGCACTGGATTTATCTGGCTCAGGATAGGGATCAGTGGGGATGCGCTTGTGAAAATGGTAATGAACCTTTGGGTTCCATAAAATATTGTGATATTCTTGAGTAGCTGCACAACTGGTGGCTTCTCAAGAAGGACTCAGCTCCATGAAGTTATAATTTGTAACTACAAATGATTATAACAGTCCCCCTAATTTGTACACTGTATAAATCACTATGAATACAGCAAACACAGTCTTCTGTTTCTTATTCTGTCGTCACTAGGTGATGCTAGGTAGTGGTTGCTAAGAATGGATATTCCTCACAGCCGGTCATGAACTGCCAGTGCTTGCTTCAAATTACTCCTGACTGCTGACTCGGACTGTAGCCTGACTGACTTTTCCCATTGGTCATCACTATATAGCCTCACTGTGCACCACTCAGACTGCCTCCACCACTTCCTCTTTTGTTATGAGTTGACTCGCTGCAGAAATGTGTTTGATGCTCTGTCACCTAACGTTGCCGCCCCCCTTCTGGTCCATTGTTCTGGCTTTGAGCCATCATGTCACAGTATATTGAGGGTGGGCTTTGTGGTATTAACATATGCAGTTGGGGGAAGATTTTCTTTCTTTCATTGAGTATTGTGGTGAAAGGCCCCTTAATGTCTGTGCCCTGAATTTATCCAAAAGATTCGAGTCTTGATAGATGAATTACCAACACTCAAAAAGCAACCAATTCTAATCATGACTGGCATCTGGTTGTGTTACTTGCTGTCATTAGCAAGCTCCATTATCTTATTTCACTTCCTTGAGAACCTGAAATCGTGTGGAAGTTTCGTTCATTGTGTATTTTGATCTGTCTTCATTAATGCAAGACTTCATATTGTCATGTGTTTAGCGACTAGACACAAGGTTTGGATTGGTAACTGGATTTACTGAACTCTTGTATATTGTAACTACAAGTAATTATGATCCTCTCACTTGTTTACTAACTCGAAAATTCACTACAGCATGCACTAAGTCTTCTCAATTCTTCTTGACTGGTGGTTGCCAAGTAACAGATTGCAACAATGTCCTCTTCTGTTCTCATTGTTGCCAGCCGGCAACTCTCTCACGTCTAATCCATGGCTCCAGGTGTGTTCCATGCTTTCAACTGCAACTCGACTTGGCTGCCGCAACCAGCGGCACACTACGAACTGCTTAGAAAATGCCATGTTGCCCAGCAGTAGTCCAACAGTTCCTCTCTTGTGTGTGCATTTGTTGTCTCAGAGAAATGTTTACCATGCCATTGCCTAGCAACAGACATCTCTCCTTGCTCCACTATTCGCATTTCAGCCCTCATGTCACAATGTATTAATGTGCTATTATTTAAGATATTCAATTCACAACTGCTTTTGCTACTGTCAGCCTTCCTGTTGTCTTTCTAGGTGTAACTGTACTTGCCATGTCTTTAAGCTTCTCTCTGAAATTGACTGCTGCAAAGTCTTTCAGTTCCTGACCATTTTTTTAATTCACAAGTAAAACAGTTTTTTGTAAACTTGATGCATAAGGGTTGAGCACAAATCACACATTAAAGTTCTACTGTGTTGGATTGTCTTATTTAATGGCTATGCGTGTCATCTGTAATCTTGTCTCTCTCTTGTTACATGCTACAAAGGATTTGGTAAGAATAAGCTGGCATGAGTATTGTAGACTGTTTAACATTATTATAGCATTTGGTTATACAGTGAATCCATGGTAGAAAGAATCTGGCATGTAGTGAGGGGGCTTCATTATAGCAACAAAAACCCTTGGAACCATCGATTTCTTAATGTTAAGTATGTTGAAAAATGAGGGGTCTTTTTCCCCATGATCATAACAGGTGATTCATTACAAGCCACCACTATTTTCCTGTAACTTTTTGAACCAACTGTGCTTGCAGATTTGCTTCGAAAGTAATTTATAGTAGCAGTTCATAAAGGTTCCATTAACTCACTGTCTCTGTCCTGCCCTTGTGTATAAGTTGTTTCCAGAATCTAAGAACAATTTATCCTCTCAAGCTTTAACCACTGAGAAATGCACATTATGATGTCCTCTGAATTTCCTTATCACTCCAATAGTGAGTTTCATTGTGTATTGTGTTGCTTGGCTTGTTTGTGGAGGCACTGTTCAGTATCTATCCCTCTTTGTCGCAAGTTTCCCGTTGCCTGCAGCTTCCATTGATCTCAGACAGAGGTGTCACAGGATACAGCTGTGCATGCATTTATTTAAGGTTTTGTCCCCCTTCATACATCTGCTGTGTTTGAGTTGGCACCAGCTACAGAATTTTGAAAAATCATAATTATGTCAATTAAAGGAAGTCTTCAACACAAAGCTTGAAGTAATATGCCAGTATGAAGTCCACAGTTCTCTGTAAGTGAAATACAAAGACAAGATGGATTCACTTCCTTGACATTATTTATGATGCCGAAGAAGAGAGAACGTAGTGCATGTCAAAGCCAAGCGAATTAAAGGCTCATTGGCATGTGACAGGATATTTGTGTCATGAAATCAAATATCATTACATATGTCATGACAAGTTGTGATGTCAGGATACCTAGATTCTCATGGAATCAGGCCAAGTTTGATTTCTGATGAAATTTGTCAAACTTTCCCACTCACGAAATATTTCACGCTATCATAATTGCAAGTCGTGATTTTAAATTTCATATGAAAAGTAGCCTTAACATTATTCCTTTTTTTTGTGAGTAAAGTAATTATTGATGAAATTCATGTGTGACTGTGTGATGAACATAATAACATGACACTTGGACTACCAGTCTAACATGATGGGCACAGGGACTTAGGTTGTGTGGATCCTATCTCTGTATGTTATAAAGACTATTTTCATTACAATTGTGGTACCTTCAATATTACTTTAGCTTAATTTTAATGGGTTAGAAATTAAACAGTTGTGGGTTTGTGGACACCTTTGTATCACCAGCTTGTGCTGTGCTAGGGGGACACCACAACATAGTAAATAAAATGGTTCTTCTGTTGTAATATTTTAAGCATGGATGAAACCTCAGTTAGGTCAAGCAGTCATCTGTTGTCTTTTTATTCAAGGGAAATCACCCATTGGCTGGCATCGTGCTATATGAATAAGCAGTGGTTAAGACAGCAAGCAGAGGAGTGAACTTCTGAATGTTAAGTTTACTCCTCTACTCAACAGATGGAAGACAACAGATTCATTTTCTTAGTTGCATAGAATTGTATTACTGAAACAGAATATGATTTGTTTCATTCTGGTCCGTCACACTAACAATATTACAAATGATAAAACAACTCCATCCAGTGTGACTGTTCAAGCTTTTACTACTTCACCTCTTAGCACCCTCACATGTTTCGGTCCCTATAGACCATCATCAGTGGGAACATCAATACTTTTAGAAAGTACTATTACATTGGGTGTTTTGATTTTTAAAATACATAAATATACAATATTTGCAATATACACTTCATACAAAATCCAAATTTCTTACAACTACAGCAACTGTCCTTGATGCATTAAAGTTTTTTTTTAAAAACTTTTTGTTATTTAAGTTAATTCGGTTAAAGAATTTTAACTTAAATAATGATGGTCTATAGGGACCGAAACATGTTAGGGTGCTAAGAAGTGAAGTAGTAAAAGCTTCAACAGTCACACTGGACAGAGTTGTTTTATCATTTGTGAAACAGAATACTTAAAAGAAGTTGTATGTTGCTCATCTCTGGCATCAAATTTTTGGACTGAACCTTGATTTAATTTCATTACACCAGTTTCCAAAAGTTCCATGTACAGCTTGGTCTTATGTGGTATGATGTGGCCATGAATATTATTGCATACCAAGCGCACATACAGTTACGAGTGGACTTTGCGCAAATGGTGACATGTTTGTTTTGCAGGATCAAGAGTGGTAACCCTGGGTACTTGGTTGCTCTCAACACAGCCGATAAAGAGATCACTGTCAGTTTTAATAAACTGAAACATGTGCCAGAGGAACTCAACGTCTTGATCAAGAGCTCCAATTTCAACATATCTGGCATCAGAGCAAAGTTAGTATCCTGAATTTCATGTTCATGTAGACTGTGTGAACCTGGAATGTAGTATATACAGGGTGTTTAACGACTTTAGGGCATAACTGCAGGAGGTGATTTCCTAGGTCTTTGTGATCAAAAAAGTTCATATAAACATGTGTCTGATTTTGGACAGTTACGGAGTTATGACAGTTTTAAACTCAGAATAGAAGGTAATGATTACTGACAATAAACGGAACAAAATAATAAACCAGCATAATACATGATACATTTAAAGTATGAATGTAAAGTTAACTTCGTGCAATTACCTTTAATTTGAATTTATTCGTGCTTAAAGCTGATTTTCGAAAATGCCACTGCCGGCCGCAACACAGGCTGCCGCTCGGTTGTGAACCACGCGGGTACATACCAACCCACCACGCCTTAGGTACCTCTCAAGTGTCGAGATAACAAGAACGCTCTGTCTGTAGCTGGCTAAAAATAGTGACCCGTCAGATGATAGACGCAGTTCACACGAGGTCATGTACGGGAATGAAGAAACGGTCATAACTCCATAACTGTCCAAAATTGGACACATGTTTATATGAACTTTCTTGATCGCAAAGACCTAGGAAATCACCTCTTGCAGTTATGCCCTAAAGTCATGAAACACCCTGTATAGGCAAAGGGGTAGGACTTCTGGGGTTATTCTTTTGCCAGCATGAATGGAAGTGTATGCTTACATTATATACATCATTTCTTTACTGGAAAAGAATACTGAGTATAAAAATCGTTGAATGTGCTGTTTTATTTATTTGTTGATTTCTGTTTCACTTGCTTAGCTTATGTGAAGTCAAATGAAAGGGTAATTAACGTATAATGAATAGAATTTAATAATGGAGGAAGAGATCATGACTTAATTTAAGGTATTATCCTGTCATTTGCCTGGAGGAACTGAAGAAAACCAAGAAATCTGTTAGGATAGCCAGGATCCAAGATGTCGTGAATAAACAGCAGGACTGTTAACCAGTCTTATGTGTTCTTTGGTGATATACTATTGAATGTGGCCAGCTGTAAGATTTATCTCTGTATAAGTTTTGTGGATTGTTGTGAGCATCTTTCTCAGTTAATTGTTAACAATTGTCAAATATGTGTTGAGGACAGGCGTAGGAAGCAAACATTGCATTTTCNCTCCGCATTCCAAGCCATTCAACTGCTCTGAAGATGGAGGCGCTACGTTCCTCTGAAACGTCGGCCAAAACGAAGAATACACGGTGCCTAAACCCAGAAGACGACTTTCTTCATTTGTATTTAATTGCTTCCATTATGATTTTCCTCAGTTCAGTATTCAGATCCGCCGTCCATGAAAGAAACCTTAATATTATGACATGATGACTAAAAAAATTGGCCACTGCTAGACACTGGCAAACTAAACACATTTCCATAGCAACAAACACATGATGCCACAATAGAGGAACTGTTAGAAACAGTGTCTTCTGTACAGTTCATGCCAAGGCTATGTGACGAGAATGATTCAAGAGTCAAGAGATGTCACTGTTGGGAGCCACTACCAAGCAGTGGGCACAAGAAGATTTAGCATGTGCTGTAGTGGTTTGTTAAGTGTGTAAATTGGTGAGCACATTATAATTACTTGTTACAAGTTGTAAGAGTTCAGTAAATCCAATTATCAGTCCAAACCCCATGTCTAGTCACTGACACCTGACAGTATGATGGTTTCACTGTATTTTGTATTGAATCACATGCTTTCTTGTTTCAGGTCAAAACTGAACAGGGATTCTGTTCAGCTATCAGCTAGAGGTGCATTGGTTGCAACCTTCGTCCCTAAACTGGAGTAGGACATCTCTTCTTATTTTTAAAAATAAAAAATTATACTTTTGCATTTAATTTTAATTTTATATATTGAAGGTAATTTATGAAATGTGCATTTTCATTGTGCTCCATTCTTAATATGAATTTCAGACAGGTGAATATCTGTAAATGTGAAACAGGTCATTCCAATTGTATTTAATCATTTTATTATGATTAGTTATAGTCTATACAGTAAAATACAGCAGTTTCAGCAATACACGAGTTGTTACAGTGAGATGACTTCTTTTGGGAAGTCTGGTACAAATGTCAGCACCAGTCCCCCCTTTCCTGGCAGCACAACTGCAGAATTGGAAATCCTTTTCCTGCAACAGATTGTTACTTATATTCTGTCTGGCTTCTAAGCATGTCATGTGTCAGTGTAGGAAAGAGTTTGTGGAGGTCATTCAAATGCAGGCTACTTACATATCCAATGATACCGTTCTGTATGCTCTTGCTCAGGTAAGTTCATTTCTTAATTAAGCACAAAATTGGTTCAAGTAGTAAGAGCACTGATTTGACAGTTGTTTCATTTGTATGCANGTGGAGGTCATTCAAATGCAGGCTACTTACATATCCAATGATACCGTTCTGTATGCTCTTGCTCAGGTAAGTTCATATTATCTTAACTGAGCACAAAATTGGTTCAAGTAGTAAGTGCACTGATTTGACAGTTGTTTCATTTGTGTGCAGTCTGTTTACTTATTTGTGATGTGACCTATGTGCGAGAAGACAGAAGGAGAAGGTAGTGGGGCAAACAGTGTACTTCGATGTAGCTATAGAACTTGAAGTTAGCTCTTTCTAAGGGACCCAACAGGGTACGTGACTTCCACTCACCTGAGGATGGAAACAGCAGTTTCTGAAACGTGTTCTCTGATTTTTAGAATACCGGACAGCGGACCAAGTCCAAAAACCGAATAATTCTGACTATACATTTTATTCATGGGTAACTAGAAACCATGGATCCAGAGGAAGTAAGAAGTTTGTGGTGTTAATATATTTTTGCTTTACATGGTGCTTGCATTGAAAATGTTTGAGATTTTGCAATGAAAACTATAATGATCTTGACATCTCTAGAGGAATATGTTACAAACAGAAGGTGGAAATATCTGGAGAATAATATCTCTCTTATACTTGTCCATCATTAGCTGTAACAATGATTCCCCCACTTCAGGAGGAGGATGGGAATTCGCCACAAGATGAATTTGAGTACTGTGCAACCTGCAGAATATATCACTTACCAGTGAACAGGAATGGTTAACCAGCTGAGTTATTGAGGTTGATAAATTATGATATCAACGGAGTAGCAAGACAGTGTTCAGTTTACGTTGTAGGAGAGAGATGTCTATTGGACTTGTTTACCTGAATAGATGGACTGCATTACCTCAGAGTGAATTGGGGAAGTTCTGTCCTACATTTTGCTTTGAGAAGCATTTAGATACCTACATGTCACTGACAAAGATAATAATTTGCCAAGAGGGGGCATATTTGGGAATGTTTAGTCCGTGGTGTCTTGCTTGAATGAAAGTTACATCAGGTATACAACAAATTTATGAGTGCATAACATTTTATTTCAGTTGACATTGGATGCAGACAATTTGTAGAAGTTAGAGACAGTCATGTTTCACTGCAGAGCTTTGGTGGCATGTGCAAAATTGAGTTACTGGTTGCTGTTTGACTTGTATCAGGTGATCTACTGCAGTAAAAAAGGAGGGCTTAGTTGAGTGTTTTATTTGTTGGTAATAAATTACTGCTCATATTGCTAATGTTTCTTTGTGTGACAGATGGAATTAAGGATGTAAGGAGTGACAAAAATAATGGGTGATGGTGAAAGATAAATACAGCTGCTTGTTTGGGCACATACAAAGGTGACTTGCTAAAAGAAATGCACCACACTCAGTATGAGAGAATCTGTTCTAGATCTCATGAAATCAGATATATTATAACAGTTCCTTTCTCTTTGTCCATGTATTGGGTTGGGGGCAGTTCTTTTACTCTTGAACCTACTTTAGCAAGTCAAGATTTAAAAGGAACGTGTACAGTTAGAGAAATCCATCTTGCAGTGTGGCCTTTTCTGAATACAGAGCTCATGAAGAATGTTGCCAGTGACATGGCTCTGTGTGATTGACAGGAGGAGCAGCATAATTGTGTTAGGTGTCAAGACAACAATGAAGTTAGGTACTGTACTTTCCAGTGACTTTCATAAATCTGTATGTGTAGTGGTACTTTACTGTAGAAGAGTTCTCACAGCAGTGACTGAGGATAGAGTATAGTCTTCTGTGTTATAAGGCTTTGTAGTTCAAAGAGAGCCCAGTGTTTCATAGAACATCGTCAGAGTTGAAGCATAAGTGAAGAAAGATGCGGGCAACAAGCAGCTACTTTGTTGCTTGGCTTGTTCGTGTGGCAGTGCAAGCCCTCAGCTGTCTCTGCTGGTTATTATGGTACTGAAATTTTATGCAAACACATTACTGGAATACTTATACTTACTTTGCAGTGAAACTATGTGCATAAGTAGTGCTGAACGTATAAACTGAAGACTCATTTGGCATATGGGCCAGATTTGTGATGTCCACTGTCACTGTATCTGGAGCAAAGTTTACAACCACCACATAACCAGGGAAGCCTTCTCTCACCCTGAAATTGGAATGGCATCTCAGTTCACATGCTTTGCTTATTTTGGCACATAACCATCTTCATATTATCATCTGTTATTTTAAACAAAATACCCTTTTAAGATTAATGTCAAACTGAAAATGTTCTTAACAGGTAATAGAAGTAATTGTTTCAAACAGAACTTTGGCTCTTCATATCAGTTCATATTTTAAACGGTAAACTCACTTAAATATTACACTTTGTAGCAGCATTGTTTGTTTTTGTATTGTTCAAGTCCAAGACTGGGGCTGTAGTTCATGGTCCTTCCTTGTCCGTGTACCCCCCCTTTTTTTTAGTCATTTGGTGCGTAATTTTGTAGGTCACTGTCTTTCTCTGCCATCAACATTTTCTTTTTAGTTTTATGACAGGAAAGGAGGAAAACATATATGAATTCTTTGCATGGTGTCAAAACAGATATCAGAACCCAAACAAACAATAACTTTAATACAAATAATCATATTTATGTGCAGTTACCTACATAAGAAGTGACACTGATTCAACTTTATGTACATTATTAATACAATGTAGTATCAGGTCAGTGTTACCTATGCTACAAGGAAATAAAAGAAGGAGAAAGCTAATAGTCAACAAGGGTTTTCTAAAAAGAATTTAGGGAGATGTTGAATTTTGGGTACAGCAGTGACTATGAACCAGGGCAGAACAAGGCATAGCTAAAGTCAGCCAAGGCCTAGGACCTTGTGTGTGGGGAGCATGAAATTTGCCTAGCTAGGAAGAGTGGAGGGCTCCCAAGGCTTTTAAATATAACAAAAACCATGTTCTCTACTATCAAGCTTCCTTGGTTCTAATAAATAGTAAAGAGTGTAGCATGCACCCACACCCCACCACAGCACTTCTCAGGGCCCTAGGGCACCACAAACCCTTAAACTGCCTCTGGTTCTAACACCATATAGGTTGGAGAGAGTGGCATTTCATAGGAACATACTATCTCCATCCTTGATGCTCAAAATGGAGACAGTATATTCCTCTGAAATGCTGAGCAATCTCTGAATTACATGTCACTGAAGATGGAGGCGATGTTATCTTCGGAAATGTTGGGCTGTCTTGGAATTACACGGTGTTACAACCAAGAAGACTATACTTTTTATGTAGGAGACATGATCACAAAAGCATTCCAGTGTACACGTCTCTTTGCTTTATAACAACACTGGTCCCATACCTGGTGTAGACCAGCACCGAGTCTTCTAGGATATGAATGTCCAGGCCACCATTCATGATGGCCTCAGTTTTTCGTGCCTCAGTAAGCTGTTTGTACACTTTAATATGGCTCCATTTTTCATTCAGCTGGGACTCCACATTCAGTGTTTTGTAGTTTGTGTTTACCGGAAGCCAGGTTTGGTTGGCATTCGAGAAACCTATGCATGTAAGTTACATTCACAAATGTACAGGTGTAATGTAATGTCATATGTACTGCTCTGTACTACCCCATCATTTCTGTTCTTTCCCCCTGCCTGACATACATAGACCCATGCTGACTGCTGGGTAGCTATTCCTCCCCCAGTAGGTGGTGTGACAGTATAGCTCAACAAATTTTCAATTTCATAATATTGGGCACATTTTGATGGTGGAAGCTGACTTTGATACAAATTAAACACCACTGTTACCACTACTGAAAATTATTCTAAGTCAACATAGTATTTTCCTATGGCCATACATTTTATGTTTTACCAACCAATCTGCATATGCATACACATTCTTCAACCCTGATGCTTGAGTGAGGTGCGTGGTAACATTTATATGCTTTCATCAGATTAAGTTGTAAAGATGTGTTGGGGGGGAGGAAATGAACCTCTGATTCAGTTGTTTTCTGTTCTCTTGAGTGTTGACAGCACAAACCTGCATTTATTCCTGCATCCCACTGCATTGGTGTGCGTTCTGGATCTCTCGAGAACTGTTTATATTTCTTTGGTCCTGCATTGATTCCTGCCGTGTCCTTAGTCTGTTCCCAGGACACATCTGCGTCCTCCATCCCAATTTCCTCTCCATTATAAGTGACAGGTGTGCCAGGGAGCAACAGTGCAATCATGTTGATAGCATCTACTAATTCAGCCCCAAACCTGGTTGCCGCACGAGAGTTGTCATGATTCCCAATCTGTTTCAAATAGAATCAAGTAACTGTATATTTCAGAACTGTCATTTTGAAGCTGGGATAGTGCAGTCAGTATAGCAACTGGCTACAGGCTGGATGACGGTTCAGAGTTCAAGTCCAGGTAGAGTCAAGAATTTCCTCCTGTCCAAAGCATCCAGACATGCTCTGGGGCCCACTGAGTCTCCTGTGTAATGGATACTGGGGGCTCTTTCCCGATGGGGGGTTGAAGTTGCTGGGAGGTAAAGGTGACCCTTCACCTCCCACCTGCCAAGGTCAAGAAAACGTGGATCTATACATCCACTCCTCCCTGTGTCTTCATGGTGTAATGCTTAATTTTAAGCATAGGGACAACTTTACATTTTTTACTGCTATTTTAATGCAGATTTATAGTTTTTTCCCCTCTGACCATCATGAAAATTAATTAAAAACAGACAGGCAAAATTCGACATAGTTTTCTATTTAAGTCATGAATGTAAGCAAGATTTATCATATTTTCAGATTTGCGTTTCTTAATAGGCAGAAAAAAATGTTCTATGCAGAACTTAGATGTAATTTGTTAGCCATAATACCAAATTATATGTGACAAGCACAAGAATTCCTTGGATTATAATAGTTTGAACTAATAAACAGGAATTACAACACCCAAATGATTTAGTGAACAAATTTTCCAAGGCACAAGCAATAAAACCTTACTGAATAATAACTGAACTGGCAAGATCAATATTCAGTGTGTTTTATTACATGTTATACAGCAGCACGTGTAGTGGCAGGTTTCATGATAATTTTGTTCAAAAGTAGTTTTAAAAATAATCTTAGAAGCATTATGTTAGTAAATTCAGCAGGCCACAGAGGGCTGGAGGAACAGTAAATACACAGACAATTTTGGTAAGGAAACATCTTGGAAAGTGACTACTTCTAAGGTTGAGTGTGAATAATGGGTGTGATTGAAATGGCACAGAATGCTGTGCAATGGCAGACTTTAAAGTTATGATATTGAATATTCAGATTTAGAATGAGATGGTACGTCATGTATCTAGTCTCATGTTTAGTAATCTTACCAGTAAAAGACTCCAATCCATACTCAATTGTTCATCATGACAGTATCCAACTTACCACCCAGTTGGGCCAGGCTCCTTTGGGAAGGTTGTTCATCCAAGTGCTGACTGCTGTATATATGCTTTGTGCAGTAATATTCTTTTGGCTAGCTGATATTAATGCAAAATTCAATGGGAAGTGGGCAATTGGATGTGATTTGTTTCCATAATAAGCCATCAGCTTTTCCACTGGCATGTATGCTTCAGTCATCATGATTCTGCAGCAGTAATGAAGTCATAATTCCAATTAGCCTTTTACTAGCACTTGTAATAATAAAAGTCTTACATTAAGATCTATTCATTGATATGACCCAGTAACTCCCATTACTGAAATCAGCATATATAAATGCTAAGAGTTAGCCCAACTCCAATTTGGGATAGAAACACAGAATGTCAGTATCAACTGTGCATTGCAAACTTGCTGTTTGTGAGTTGTGTGAATTGAAGAAATGATCATTATAGTTTTCAAGGCATGATTTTGCTTTTTTTATATATATATCATGAAGCCTATGAAACATATGCTTGGATGATCATGAATAGTGTTTATGAGAAATGAAAGGACAATTTTAATATAAGTTGCAATCCAAAAAATTTTAAGGAGAAATGAATAAAATTCCAAAACACTTAAATCTGGGGACTCGATCTTGCTGTTAGTTCAAGGACATTTTGAATATGAATCCTATTTAGGACATAGAGTACCTCAGTGCTTGCACTTCCACATTCAGTATGCCACAAATATGTGATGAGATATGAGGAGAGGTACAGCCATACAAGAATCGGCAGTAAGAACATAGAAATTTGAAGCATTTGCTGCTAATAAACTCTGATAAAAATTGAAGTTATTGATACTATTTGGAATAGATAGCTTTCAAGAATATTTTGTGTTTTAACTACTTGTTGAGAATATTCAATGCACGTTTCTTACGTCTACAAATTTATGAGGAAGAAATAGACAAAAGCTCTTGATGAAAGCTGTGGCATGAACAGCGAGAAAATAGTGTTTGTTGCGAATACTGACCAGTGATTGTCACTGTTTATTTCCCCTCGTATTTTATTGCCTGACTTCATTTACATTTAAGTGAGCACTCTTTTATTCTTATCTTCTTTCCAATACAGATGTGATTAAAATTTTGCTAATGCCTTTATTGGGTGCGTATATTATTGTATCTTTTCCCATACTACCTGAAACATTGTACATTATAAACCAAATTATCTTAATTTTACTGCATTAATTTCTTTGCAAAATATTGAAATATAATTACAGCATGAACAGAATTAATAGTTGCATGCAAATTGATTCACCACTGCCCCATAAAATGAAGTAATTATTCAAACTGTCTGCATACTTTGTCGCATTCTCAGAATTTTTGTCAAGTACAATCCTGAATTCCCGCAGTACATCTAGCACTTCAGGTAGATTGAAGGTGTACTTATGATCCAATTGACTGTACTCATCAGTGGCATCTTCATCCTTCACCATTTCATCTCTTAGATCTTCATCTTCAAACAAATGAGCAACTGCATCCAACCGGAATCCATCCACTCCTTGGTCCAACCAGAACTGCATCACATTCTGTGGGATGGCAAAATGAAATGCAATTATGTACATTTGGCCCTTCTGTTTACATCTGTCATCATTCAGCTGTGCCTGAGTTTGGATGTCTGTTAATGTCCATACAACCAGTACAACCTTTGCAACAGCAATGCAGAAATTTTTCTCAGCTTAGTTAAAGTGAGACTGAATACACTGCATGTATTTATAAATCTGCTATTGAATTATCAACATAATCACTGTAGGCATGTATGTAATATAGAGAAAATTTAAGGTTCTCACAGTGGTGACTGAAGAATGTGTCTATGTGTTAAGATGTTATGCCGTGAAATCTGGTAGAAGTTCAATTCAGAGGACTATACTGCCTAAATCTTCAGGGTTGAAGGTACATGTTTGTTTTGTTTACTCTCTGACCCTGAAAGTTGAGGCAGTACATTTTTACAAAATGTCTGTAAACATCAACCAGACTACATAGCATAACATCCCAGAAGACACCACTATTCATGGGAAAAAAGAAACATGTTTATTTTTCCAAACTAATCCATTTTTGCCATAAGCATTTTCACAGTTCCAAATACAGCAGGTATTTGTGGCTCATGTAACACATTAAAGGAAACTTGCATGAATATAACTGGAAGACAAATGAACAGACTTGAATAATAAAATAAATGTTTTCCTTTTACAAATTTGAAGAAAGTAATCAAATTTTTGTGTAGTCTAAGCCTTTTGTAAGGCAGCTATAACACTCTCTTCAAGACTTTATAGTGGAAGATCACTTGTACAGTATATTTAGTTACATCTACATAAACCAGTGTGTGAATAAAGTGTAGTGTCTTAGTTTCTGGGCTTTGGGTTACCAGCAGAGGAATTTATGGTGATGTGAAAGAAAAGGGTTAAAATGCTGAAAAGTGGGCACACTTGTGTTTTATTCAGCATTTGATCACAGTTATAAACATACAAATTTTCTGGAAGATGCACTGTAATGCAGAAAAGTAAGAGTGGTTCAGAATGCTAAGAAACAATTGTACACTGGTGCTTTCCTGAAAATTGATTGCAGTTAAGTTGTGATATGCACCATGTTTCAAAAATGCTGGGAAACAATGACATTTCAGTATTTCAGCATCAGGTAGAGAAAGACTGACTAAAATGACCTGCAGCATAGAAGAGAGTGTAGCTGCAAACATGGATGTGGCCAGGATTTTTTCTGGAGGGATGGAGCAGAATATTTGCTTATGGACGTAATTTAAACCATGTAAAACTATTTTTGTTACTAATTTCTTCAAAAATACTTTTAATTTTTATTATTTTTTGGAATAGTTCCTTTTTTCCTTTTGATTCATTTTCTAAAATCCTTGTGGCAGATGCCTAACTTGATGGCCCCTGCTGGTGCCCATGTTGCTAGTGCTGCTGGAATCAATATTTTTAAAGAGCAGGACCTCTGAACATGTGTTTTGGAACAAGATACATATATATTGATATGATATTTATATTCTTAGTATACCTTCATTTCTTCTAAAACCAGGGGATTCCTGTAATTAAGGTCAGGTTGCTCCTTGAGGAACTGGTGGAGGTAAAACTGGCGTCGTTCTTGGTTCCACTCCCAGGCAGAGCCACCAAATACACTCCTCTGCAACACCAGCGATTGGTGGAGTTCGTAAATGTGCAAATATTATGTTTTTGGACATTATCCATCATCTTGTCTTTATCTAAAATCCATCCTGTTTATTTTTAAAACACAACGTTTTGGAGACTGGATTCTCTCTCAATCTTCAGGTAAAACCTACTGTTGGGCCCAATCATTAGAGCTCTTACAGACAAAGACAGGGACTAGCTCTAACGATTGGGCCAAACAGTAGGTTTTACCTGAAGATGGAGAGAGAATCCAGTCTCCAAAACGTTGTGTTTTAAAAATAAACAGGATGGATTTTAGATAAAGACAAGATGATGGATAATGTTCAAAAACATAATATTCCTACTAATGTACCATCATCACAAACTTTCAGATCTTATTTTAAAAAATGTGGCAATATTTCTTTATATTGTTGGTCCTGATAATTGTTATTAACACCCTGATTACTTTAACAGTGACAAGGCCACACACACATACACACACATGCACGCACGCACACACACACACACAGAGTGAGTCTTATGTTTTGGACCATATCCTCCTGTCTTGCTCATTCTGAAGATGGCAACAGTAGTGTACACTGAAACACTGGAACAGTTTCGGCACATGAGGCAGAGGGGCAGAAGTTCCAAAGATAATATTTATCCTGCCCATATGTGTGAACAGAAGATCACTGAGGTTACATTCCATTGTAAATGACATTTGTATGTTAATTTTTGAAAATGAACAAGGAGATTGGGCATATAAAAATATTTAGGTAACAATACTGAGTTTATTCAGTGTAAACAGGAATAAATAGGTTACAATATTGAAAAGAAATTCAGTAACATCTGAAGTCTGCTTGTTACATGCAGCATTCTGAAAACACATGATGGCCGCAATTAATGATTGCTCTTGTACAAAGTAAGTCTGAAAACAGTAATATATTTTGTTAGTTTTCAGATGTTCAAGGGACTTGGATGTGTTGATAACCTACCCAGTTATTGGGTGGGATTGGTGTTGCCTCAGTCCCAAATCCCTTGGCATCAGCCCATATATAGTAGTCTGCATAAGGAACTTCTCTCTTCACAGATTTCTGGAACCACTCATGGAGATTACTGGAGTGATTTGGCACAAAGTCCAGCACAAGTTTTATACCTGAAATGGTTACCACTGATAGGAGATTTCACCTTATACAGTATAGTAAAAATAATGAGCACACTAAGCTATTAAGATATTTGTACACATCTTTGTATAACATCAATACTTGCAACCCCACAAAACATTCCTGTTTCTCTTTCAAGCATGTTACTTTATGTCCTACAGTTTCTAGTTTACCTCTTTTGTGCACTGCCTTTGACAGTGAGTGGAAGTCATCCATTGTTCCAAACACTGGAGCAATGTCTCTGAAGTCCTGAATGTCATATCCAGAATCTTTCATTGGTGACTTGTAGATGGGTGACAGCCATATTGCCCCCACACCCAAGTCCTTTATGTAATCGAGTCTTGACTCAATACCTGTTGGAAGCAATGTAAATTATATCTTCAGCAGATCCTGGAAAGGAAATTTTTAATTTGTGTGATGTTATACTCTGAGATTCTATATACCAAACACCTAATGGTGCTGTGGAGAATAAAGTGCTTTGCTAGGAGTACTGGCCATCTGGTCATCAGGCTAAAATATGGAATGCTCAATACAGAAACTAGTCANCTTACTCATGACTGGCACAAACTGGGCACTTCGACACTTAAAGGTTAAGAGTGTCACGTTAATTTTCCACATATTTAGTCCAGTAATGACCGCCTCTGTGGTCTAGTAGTCAGAATTCCTGCCTACAGATCCAGGGGTTCCGGGTTCGATTCCCGGTGCTACCAGATTTTGTGAGAAATAGTGGGTCTGGAACAGGGTCCACTCAGCCTTGTGAAGATATCTGAAGAGCTATTTCAAGGAAATAATGGCTGCAGTCTAGAAAACCGAGATTATTGGCAATGGGTAACTGTTGCTCTGACAATGTAACACCCTCTATCCACAAGAGTTGACACTAACTTCGCTGACAGTTGGCGGTCATTCAGTCGGTATAATTTGCTTGCAGCCTACATGTCACAGAGTTTTTTTTTAGTCCAGTAATACAGCATCTGCAAATATAATTACAAAGTTGCAATGGACGTACCATTACTTTATGTGAAGTGAATGGCATATACAGGTTATATGTAGACATGTATTTAATCTTGTTGCATGTGCTTGATTGAAGCAGTTATTAGGAAGTTACATAATTTCAAATACCATTATTTCTTAGCTTAAAAATTTGTGAATATCTTGAGACACATTTGCTCAAATATGACGGACTTTTGCTTCAAATGTCTCCAAAATATCTGATTAAGTTTATATTTATGTGTGCTTGGTTCTCCTGGGAATTTTACTGAATGCTGACACCAAAACACATTGTTACTTATTAAAGCTGCTTTTAAGTTTTCAGGACTTTATGTGAGAAAATAAGTTCATTATATTCAAATAAAGCACATGCCATGAAAACAAGTCTCATTGCATGGTGCTAGCTTTGGCTCTATTCTTCCAAGTGATTGTCTTCCTTTCAGGTTTTCCTACCAACCTTCAAATTTTTCCTACATCTCATGCACACTACATGGCTTGCCCATCTCATCTTCATTGATTTGATCATCCTGTCAGTACATGGTGAAGAGTAGATTATGCAGTTTTACTCACCACCCTGTTACTTAGTCCCTCTTAAGTTTAATTATGTTCAGAATCTTTTGTGTTCCCATCTGCTAGGTGCCTAAAAATATAAGTATTAAAACCTTTAATATTACAAATTGTTTTGTAAGGATGTGAAAGAACATGGATTGAAGGTGTTTGAGAAAAGTGTACGGAGGAGAATATTTGTGCCTAAAAGAGATGAAATGAGATATAGCTCGAGAAAATTGTATAATAATGAATATTATAATTTGTACCTTGAATATGACAGATGAGTATGGATCAACAATGGAATAGAGCTTAACAAGAGAAACACAGACTCGGGGTGAAAAATACTACTCAAGTGCCACTTCGTCCACCCCAGATCTCAATTGAAGTCATCCGAATAAAGAACGAGGCAGTGTGCTGAGAAATCAGCATTTATGGTTTATTTTATTTACGGTTTATTTAACGATAATTTCAGACTCTTGGACTGTACGGCATTGAAAGGTAAGATGAACGAGTTGGAATGTTGCGGTGAGAGGCTGTCATAGCCTAGTTGAGTTGTTATCTTGGAATGGGCAAAAACCGACGAGACCTGTATCAAGATAGGCCATCTCCCGGGCGAGATTCAAGCCGGGCATCTCTCCAGCACAAACCACGAGCATTACTGCTTGAGTCAGCTTACTAGGTTCGTCTTTGGAGTTATACGTGACCCGCAGCCCATGAAGCAATCATCAGCTGTCTGAAACGATCTGAAGAGAGAAGTATTGCAAGCGCCGTAAACCTACTTTGGTGCAAACATTGCGGAACTGGAATCATGACAGTAACCAGTGCGATCTGGCGGTTTATGAAGGTGGTTTTAAAACAAAATGGTTTCTCCCTCTGAATCTAATTTCTACTTTTAATTAGTACCTGGTGTCAATGCTGATTAAATCATGAAATATTTAAAATTTATACAATTCAAAGTTTGGATTCCGATATATTAACCTGGAGTTTCAGCTTAAGCTTTACGTGTGTATAAATGTGTGTGCTTGTGTATAAGTGGGTTTAAAGGCGTGTCAACATTTATAGATCCAAATGCCTGGATGACAACCAAGGTAAAACAGATCTTATTAAGTAAAAGTAAAAAAGTAAAGCTATCCCTGTACCAGACCGTGAAGGCCCATAGGGTTGTGAGACGTTGAGGGTCCCACATTATCTAGACAATCGGCTCAAAGATGGCGGTAAGGTTGTCAGCCATACGCGCCGGCCGCGCTTTACTCCCCAGGAAAATTATTTAATTAATTCCTGGTACTCATTTCTGTTAGAGGCTGAGTAAACCCCAGGGCCTAGTGCGGCTGGAAGGATTAGGTCAACTGAAAAAAAAATCCAATGACCTCATTGGGATTTGAACCCGCGACCTTCCGGCTTGTAGCATAGCCCTTCAACTAAACCCAGTATAAACTTTCTAAGCTGAATTCTAATTTAACGTATTATTACATGGTGTTAAAATGATCATGTTGATATTTGAAAGGACAAGTTTAATTTAAATATCGCATTTCTATTACATGAATGTATGATGGGTAGGCCTCGTCGGCCCTTGCACCGCGACCTACAGTGGTCTATTGTGCTTATTTCTATTACATAGTCAATTAATGATTGCAATCACTGTTGGCACCGATACCAAACTAAACATGTAAATACAGTTAGTAGGCCAAATGCTGAGGCAGTATATAGCTATAACTACATTCATTGAGGCAGTGAATGAGTGAAAGATACCTCCTGTCCCTTATCAGATTTTCGCCATGACATTAAAACACTAAAAAAATGTACTAGTATAACTTTGTCCTTTGTTTTGTACGTGTGTGAAAATTTGGTTTCTGACTGTATGGAAGAATGGGGGTGTCTGGGGACAGAGTGTTGTGGAGAGGGGATTTATTTTTCACGAAATGTTATTAGGACGAGAAGTCAATGACGATGAGACAAGTGGGACATGTAGCATGCGTGGGAGATGTTAGGAATGCGTCCGAAATATTCGTCTAAATACCTGAAAGGAAGAGATTACTTTAAAGACCTGGGTGTAATTGGAAGGATATTATTAAAACGGACGTTAAAGATATAAGTGGAAGGTAGTAGGATGAATTAATCTAACTCAGGATAGGGACCAGTGGCGTACATTTGCGAGCGTGGTGATGAATCTTCATGTTCCATAGAAGGCGGGTAATTTATTAGTTCCTGAGCGAATATTAGCTTTTCTAGAAGGAATCTGCTCCATGTAGTTACAAACTAAGTTTAAGGTATTACAAAGGAACGTACCTGGAATATCCCCCACACCGTCGGGAGGGTGACTACTGTCTTGATAAGAAAGTGGGTACACTTGGTATATGGGAGAGATTTGCCACCACTCGAGAGGATCTGCAACAGAACACTTGGGGGTGACCAAAACAAGAGTGATGGCGCCTGCTAGCATAGTCAACCATGACGTCCAGTACACTACCAGAAGTATGCACCGGATTCGAACCCACATCGGTTGGTACGCACACTCCAACAGTTGATCTTTCGTCAGCCCAGTGTAGGGAACTTCCGCTGCCACATAGCCTCCGGCGGACATGGCACTCGACTGGCCTGATTCATCCCCTGCCCGGTTATATTAAGACCACAGGTAGCACACGAACTAGCAAACCCACCAATCTTGTTCGCTAGTTCCCAAGGTCGTATATTCAGATGCCTTAAAATCCCTTAGCGCCATCTACAACCAGCGCCGTCTTTTTCCTGGTTGACTGGTTACTCGTCCAGCTGTCATGCTATTCGAACAACGAGATTAAGGAACTGATTCTGTGCCTCTGTCTTAAATCAGAACCTATTTANAATAAAGCTATCCCTGCAACAGGCCGTGGAGGCCCATAGGATTGTGAGACGTCGAGGCTCCCACATTTTCTAGATAATCGAGCCACAGATGGCGGTGAGGTCGCCCTTCAACCCTCAGGAAGAAAGCTGGTACTCATTTCTGTTAGAGGCTGAGTCGACCCCAGGACCATGGTGAGGCTGGAAGGATTAGGTCAATTGAAAAATCCAGTAACCTTATCGGGGATCGAATCAACGACCTTCCGAATTGTAGCTTAGTGCCTCAACGAACTGTGCCATTGCGTGCCGCCTTCGCATAATAATACCGTATCAACTTTCGCACCGTATTGCAGGCAATAATTCTATAGTTACTTCCTCTTCATACATTTAAGTTATCAACGCTGATTAATTTCAGGCTCTTTAGCTCTGTCGTTGAAAATACTTTTTTTTTTCTGATTAGCGGACCAGGAAATAGCATTGAGTTTACCAATGCCCAAAAACCCTGAATGTCCCACACTGTACAGTATAAATAACAGCATTGGTATCTAATCATTGCCAGCATGAATTAACATTTACTGTATAATAATAACTAGCGTTTTGTGTGACGTTAAATATGAAGAGACTCCGGATATTTGCAACTAAACATCATGCACGAAGAAATGTGAAACGCTTTGTCCTCTGTGCCTGTCGTCCCATGGTCTGTAGTTTTAAAATGTCCACTTGCAAGTCATATAAATAGTGGCTTAATACATGTTAAAAATACAATTTTTATCGCAATTTCTGCATCAAATTGCGACATGGAAGACAGTTTATCTATTGACCTCTTCAATCAGAGTTCTTGTGTTATGTGCCACTCATTCTGGTTGATATAAATACAGCATCTTGAAGGATAAAACAGAAAACTAACAAGATGAATAGGAAAAGAAGAGGAAGAAGAGGAAGATAATGAGGAGGAGGAGGAGGGTGATAATGATGAAATTCATTGCATGAAGAATTATGTTATCTAGCTCGGAAAGAACCGTCGAATGAGTTGATTGTAAGTCGTTCTTCACTCGTTCTGCACTTGTTCTTTTTCATAGCAGAGTACTTTTCTAGCCAAGGGTGCGTTTCGGAGGAACATATCCCCTTTTGTTGGTTTTCATGGTCACTGCCGTGAAAACTATAACTCCAACAATTTTCTAATCAATTCGCCTGTCTTAGGGTTCATTTATTTTTATCTCGACTTTGCTTTCAAAACTTCAAATTATTGTTCTCTTCTTTCGCACCTTTTCTAAAGATAATTCATAATAAGGTAAACTCACTCACTTATGGAGCTGAACTCTTCTTGAGAAGCTGCCAATTCTGCAGCTATTCAAGAGCTTCCCAGCATTTTATGGAACCTGAAGGTTCATTTCCGTGTTCACAAGAACCCTCCTTATCCTGAGCCAGATCAATCCAATCCATAACATCCCGTCCAATCTCTCTAAGATCCATTTTAATATTGTTCACCCACCTACGTCTTGGTCTTCCCAGTGGTATCTTTCCTTCTGGCCTTCCCACCAATATCCTATGTGCATTCCACTTCTCCCCCATTCGTGCTGCATGCCCTGCCAATCGCATCCTCCTTGACTTGGTCGTTCTAATTATACTTGGAGAAGAGTACAAGTTATGAAGCTCTTCATTATGCAGTTTTCTGCAACCTCCCGTCGCTTCGTCTCTCTTCGGTCCAAATATTTTCCTCAGACACCCTCAGTATATGTTCCTCCTTTAATGTCAGAGACCAAGTTTCACACCCATGCAGAACCACAGGCAAAATTAAGTTTTGTAGATTCTAATTTTTACGTTTTTAGCCAGCAGACGAGAAGATAAAAGGTTCCGGACTGAATGGTAGCAAGTATGGTATTACCGGAATTCAGTCTCCTTTTAATTTCGTCCTGAAGCAGGTTTTGATTTGTTATAGTCGTTCCCAAATATCTGAACTGTGCCATATTTTCAAAACATCTGTTGGCTATCTTTATTTCATGATTTTGCCCTGCATTTTGGTGACGAGACAGCAACGTATACGTGGGATATAGGGGGGGGGGAAAAAATATATATATATATATATATATATAAGTCTAGTAAAAATACAAGGGAATTTTCTTTTTCAGAAATGGCAGTGTTACCTTGTGAGATAGAAACCCTATGACTGCCTGTGACAGAGCTGAGTTCATTGGCCGCAGTCACGGCAACGGTGTGCTCGCAGTGTGTTTAAAATGGCCGTGTCGATTCGAAATCCCGCCAAATGTGAAGTCGTGCAGTAATTCGATTTCTTCATGCGAAATGGAAACTGCAGCTGAAATTAATCCCCAACTTGTTTCTGTTTATGGCAAAAATGTTATGAACAGGCAGAACGTGGCAAAATGGTGTCGTGAATTTGAGGCGGGAAGAAGTGATGTTCATGATGAAATAAGGAGTGGAAGACCATCCGTTGTCACTGATGAAATAAAAAAAAACTGATGAAAACATTCGTGCTGACAGACGGTTAACCATCGATGAACTTAATCAACAATGTCCAGAAGTGCTAGGAAGACATGGCTAAAAGTGCAGGAGGGAGATTTCTATGATGCTGGAATAAATGAACTGGTTCCCAGGCTCACTAAGTGCATTGCGATCGGTGGTGACTATGCTGAAAAGTAAATAAAGGTGTGTCGTAAGTGTTACATATATTCTGGGCTTTTATCATTACTTTCCGGATAATTTTCGTACTTGGCTTCCTCTTCGTTTACTTCTAGAGTCCAGACCAACCTCCTTACTAACGTCAATTAAAACGTGTGTTGCATAGGAAGGTAAATGGTTGAAAAAGTCAAAGCTATCCCTGTAACAGGCCTTGGAGGTCCATAAGGTTGTGAGACGCCGAGGCTCCCACATTTTCTAGACAATCGACTGACAGATGGCGGTGAGGTTGTCAGCCTTACGCGCCAGCCGCCCTTAAGCCCCAGGAAGATTCCTGGTACTCATTTCTGTCAGAGGCTGAGTCTACCCCATGGCCACAGTGCGGCTGGAAAGATTAAGTCAACTGATATAATTCAATGACCTCAGCTGAAATCGAACCCGCGACATTCCGGCTTGTAGCATAGTGCCTCAACCACCTACGCTAGCGCGTGCCCCTGATAACGATATTCCTTTTCGGAAACTGAATACAGCATTGCCATTTCGTAGTTAAAGTAGAAGGATCTTACATATACGAGCCAACCACGACTGTAATCCTCGGACACGAAACATTTCATTACGAGAAACAGCAGCACCGCAACACTTTGTGACGTCATACGCCTCTGTAAACAGCGTCAGCAGTTGATGAGCATGAAATCATGCAATTAACAGAGGCGGATGTGTAACACATGCGTTAGTTGTGAAAATCCGACGAGAGCCAATAACGCAGGCGCTTATCGCCGACGGAAGTTCGTGTTCTGCAGCCACCTGTGGCAACATGAACGCTAAGCTACCCTGCGCCTTAATACTATGTCATATCCGGTCGCCGTAACATTCAGGCAACCAGGAGACTGGACGTGGTCAGACTGATTCCGGAATTGAAAACTAGCCTTAAGCCCAAGCTAGTAACATGGATATAAAAGGCAGAAACTGCATAAATTTGCAACATCATTAAGAATTTTTGTGTAGATAGCGACCTTATACCTTACTGTATCGAATCTTGTAGTGTAAGCAGCGGAATATAGTTCCTCTTAAATGTTGGGCCGCGGGTCGGTACCGCTCTAGGAATTCTAAGTTTCTATTCATATGTTTTGTTTAACGACTCTGGCTCTAGTTCAGCCAATAATGCTCCGGGTGGAAGGATGATTATTGAATAGGGAATTACAAATTTGAGGAGGGAAGCGGGTTTGACCTAATGTGAGGAACTATTTTAACATTTTCCTGGAGAGAAAGACGAAAACCTCAAGATACCCTGTCATCTAGGCGTTCCGAATACGAAGGAGTGATGAAATCCACTTGTCTGCAACATCCGGTCTCAAATCCTCGTTGGTGTCATGCAGCTGTAGCCTGCACAGATGGGGGGAAAAGAAGTCCAGTGATTGAGACTAGCTTTTTCTAACGTGCCCAACTGAGTAGGTTTATCCTGCCGCATCCACCTGAGGACGGAGACAGATCCAGTCTCCGAAACGTTGTGGCTTTCTGTCTTCTATATACCAGACAATGGATAGAGTCCAAAATAAGCCTAATAGTTCTGTACAGAGGAGTCTCCGTCCACTTGCTCTCATCTCCATAGCGTCTAGGCAGAGTCTGAGGTCTACTCAGCCTCCTACCCAATGGGTATCCTTGACTGTTTCTCTGAGGGCAAAGCGGACCGCTGATCTCCCTACAGCGCCGAGATCAACAATGGTGGAAATATACTTCCACTGTCCCATAGGTATTCATGGTGTGGTGCTTATTAATTAAGCCCAGGGATTGTTTTAGCTTGCTTACAGCTATCATTGAACATTACCTCCTCCTTCTCTTTTGCAGCGTTCAGAAATTTGTTTGTAAAAGGTGAAGTTGTCCCTGTGCCTAACTAATTGAGCACTGCTCCATGAAGGCGTATGGGGGAGTGGATGTATAGATCCACATTTACTTGACCTCGGCACTAGCTGGAGGTGAGTGGTCAGCTTCCCGCCCCGGGCCGCTCTACTCCGGTGGAAAGAGTCCCTGGTACCCATTGGATAGGAGGTTGGGTGGACCCCAGAACCGGTCTGGATGACGTGGAGAAGAGAAAATTCTTGACCTTACGGGACTCGAATTCCAACCTCTCCGTCGTCCAGCCCGTAGCCAATCGCTATACCGTCTAAGCTATCCCTGCTCTTCTATCCCACAAAAAACACACAACTCCTCCATTACAAATCTGCAGGTAACTTTATGGAAGAAAATCCAGTATAAGTATGTTTGAATTTCTAACAGTGGCGTATGAATACTAAATCGGCATTGAAAATGTAATCCACCGTCTTCAAAATGATGACGTAACGGTTACGTCACTAACTAACGTTCTCGTAGTATGAAATTGAACTGCTGACATATTGGGACTAACTTGGCACGTGGTCAGTGGTGCGCTCTCATGACCAATTCTGCAATGAGCCGGCACAAATCCATTATAAAAAGTGAGTCGTTTCAATAGACGGTTAACCCTTCAACCGAAAGTCACAGTCGAGTGGTTACCAGAAGTATCGGGTCTGCTGAGGTTTCACTTAGTCTCCCCAGGCAGATATTGGGTAGTAACTTAAACGGATCAAAACTTCGTCTTTCCGCGTATTCACAGACCCACACGATATTGTTTGTTCATTTCAGAAAGTATCGTTCAATAAAGATTTAGTTTTCATATTCACGCCACCCCTCTGTAACTCGCAACTCGATGCTACATAACGTATTCAGTTGATAAACTGTCGTTAAATAAATATTCAAGTCACCACATTCACAATGTGATATGATAGAAAGTACACAATTGAGGAAGGGTTACTAAATAAATGAACAGCAACCTTTTAGACCCCCGTCACTGTCTTGGGAAGATGAAGGACAGATCTGGGAGGTCACGGCGCTCTGCACTAGTCCATGACCGCGATAAGTGACAGTTGCAGCGTGTGGCGTCACTATATGCTCAAGCTGAGGCATGACGGACAGGAAGCTCTCGATACGACGCCCGACTGCAGATCAACAGTGAAACTCCTTAACTAAGCATACGGATTTTTGAAGGTGGTTCCTGCGTGGGTTATATGTCAAGCTGCTCAGAATGATTTGCAGATTTCCATAAAATTCTGGAAGAAATTTAAATACGATACTCATTTTTAAATATATATATATATATATATTCCAATATGGCAGTCCTAAGGACTACAGAAAAACTAGTGTTATTATTCTCTGGAACCTGGACATGTGTGACGAAATATATTTTGTTATGTGAAATCATGAGGCGTAATTGTCAAAAACGTAAGACATTAAGACGGAGATTGTATAAAGCATTCCTTATGTGACACATTTTTAACCGTCTTCAAACGAGACATTTAGTATGTCCACAGCATATTATGAACGTGTGTCATCATTTTATTTGACGTATCCTTTTCCTTGGCCGTAAGGAAATCGATAAGGCGATTGTGCTGAAATTTATGGTTCAGTGACAGCGATTTGGTCCCGAAAATTTGTATGATGTGAGATATCATGTAAAGGTCATGTTTGCCTAGAATTGAGAAAAGAGCGATTATGCGAAATAATTTGTATCTTTATGGGGATAACTAATGTATAATATTTCTTCTTACAGAGGATATCTGAAGATTTTGCACGAGTAAAAAGAATAAAACTTCGTTGTCACAAACTCTTCTGTTTGCTAGGTTTAATCTTCAGTTATTTCCCCCATTCAGCGAGTCTGTAAGCCACCGCAACGCCTATTTATTTCCCATTATTCATCCCCCTGTCTTTTTGTCTGTACGTATGAAACGATTCGAGTACCCCTAAACGGATTTTCATGATATTTGGTACTGGAGAGCACCAATAAAATATATGGAAATATTCCAGTTTGGGATCAAAACAGACAAAAATATCGGGCATTACATGAAGACCGACCTATATTTGCTTTGGTGAATATCTCGAGCCCAACTGGCTAAATATTTATCGGAGAGAAATGTGTTTCGAACAAAATTCAACATAAGCACATATTTTACGAAACATACGTTTTCCATATGATTTGGTACAATTAAACAATAGTGACGCTATGCGCACAGTTTCGAACTTAAATATTCAACAAAGATATAAAGGTAAATTTGTCCCTGTACTTAATTAATTAAACATCACGCGATGGATTGGAGGTATAGCTCCACTATTCTTGACCCCGGCAATAGATGGAGGCGAGTAGTCAGCTTCACATCCCGATACTCAATAGATAGGAAGCAGGATGGGTCCCAGAGCCGGTCTTGGTACTGTGGAGAAGAAAAAAAATTCTTACCCCGCCGGGAATCGAAGCCTGGTCCGGTCAGGTCATCCATCCCATATCCCGTCGGTATGCTGACTGAGCTATTCCGGCTTCTGACCATTCAACAAGCAGCAGTGATTTCCCGAACACACCCGAAGATTATCGAAGCCTCTTATTCTCGCCAAAAATTATGGAATTCTTTCTCCCACGTAACTGTCTTCACGTTGAAATATATATTCTGATTAAACCGTAATTATTAGTGTTGCCAAAGCCGTTTATTATGGTAAGTGTACATAAATCTACAAGAAAATAAACGCAAAGCCGGAATAGCGCAGTCGGTATAGCGACTGCCTACGGGCTGGACAACCGATGGGTCGGAGTTCGAGCCCCTGTGGTGTCAACAATTTTCTCCTCTCCACAGGGTCCAGAAGGCTCTGAGGACCACCCAACCACCTATCCAACTGGTACGGGAGGCTCTTTCCCCGGAGGTAAAGCGGCCGGGGCGTGAAGCTGACCACTCACCTCCAGCTAGTGCCGAGGTCAAGAAAACGTGGATCTATACATTCATTCCACCATACATCTTCATGGCATAGTGGTTAATTAGTTAAGCACAGGGATAACTTTACCTTTTTACCTTGCAAGAAAATAAATGCTGAAATTCCTAGAGTAAGAAAAAAAAGAAGAGCCCAGACAGCCTTGAAATCAGACTCGTTTTATTCTTTTAACATAATGCTCCATTACAATAATACTTAGGAGCATGTGTTAAAGCCACAGTTCAAGCATGGCATCCAATATTGCAAAAATACGAAATATAAATTCAAAGAAGCGGTTCTAAATACAAGTAGTATTTTTCCTGACAATGGCGACAGAAAAATAATTCCTAACCCTTCTGACTAATCTTTTTTTTTTTTAACTGTAGAAAAAATATTGTAAATACAAAAGAGGCCTAGGCAATGCCCATCCGGCCTTTCTGACTAATCTGCAGGCTGACAGTCCGTCCTGCACTCTGTCGGCACACTGATTTCCATAGTTTCACCCACATCATTGCGACGATTGCGACTTTGTACAAAGACACATTTACTTTTTGTTTTCTTTAGTTTTGATTCAAGCACATTTCCCTCTTAGTGCCTTTTAGTATGTAATTAATTGCCATTACTGGACATTCAATAACTTATCGAAAAGTTCGGCTTTCAATAGATAATATGCAATAATTACCCAGTTTTAAACGTTCGCGTGAGAAGTAGATTCCTATTTTACCATTCGGACACTTGAAACTAATGAACTAGCTAGTGCGGCATCTATCGACCTTCAATTAAACTACGTTACTTATATTATTGATTCTCTCTGGTAACATGTACCCTCTGTAGACACGGCTGCTTGGATATCATATCTACGGAGCGTGCGCTCTGGCGGTAATTTATATTCCAAGAAGCTGTGACTCTCCAAAAAGCCGCTAAAAACGAATGCACAGTTTCATGTGACGTCATAATACGACATGTCGTGTAGTGATGGCGGACGAATGCCGCGGAAGAGCACGTCGAAGTCACCGAAGAAGTCACGAAAGTCCGAGGATCGAACAACAAAACACGATATTCCGTCAGTGCACAAGAGGAACTTATATTTCGTTTCTTTCCCAGTGATATTTTTATTTGATGTTTTACGTTCTGTGTTGTATCAGTTATTTGTGATATTGAAGTACTTATATACGTCCACATCAAAGTTGGTGCACCGTCCAAAGACAAATTCAACTTGCAAAGTAGAAATTGTTATACCGGAAAGTGAATGTGAAGCTCAAGACTATCCACAAGATATGTCACAGCTGCACCCAAAACATCCCACAGGTCCAGGTCCCGGTGATCCGTTACTGGCCAAGCAGAAACATCATCACAGAAGGGCGTTTGAATTTATTTCAAAGGCGCTAAAGATAGACGAAGAAAATGAAGGTAAGTCAAGTATGATTTCACCATGATAGAAATAGCAGCGACAAATTTCTTTTCTTCAGTGATTTTATAGCTTTGAGTCGTAATTAATTTTTTGGGTATTAGCATGACCTGTTAATGTGAAGAGTCGAAATTGAATCTTGACATCGATCATCGAGAATGACAATTTAATTAATTCCCATCCAAATTAATTGTTCAAAATTTTGATACACTTACACCAATAATAGTAATTTAACATGTACACTTTTCGTGTTGAGGTTTATTACGTCTTACGCTTACTGTCGCCCAAAATTGTCACAAGACTACCTGTTTCGTGTTACTACTTTTAGTTATAATTTTGTAAGAAGTTAGAAACTTCGGAGAAAGTATGATCAACTTTTGTAGATGAGTGTATGAGTCCGTAATTGCTATTGAAAACAATTAAGAGAATTGTCTAAATATTTGGGTTTATAGAGTGAATTATTTGTGCTTGTAGATATATTTTGGGCATGAAATTACTGTTACACCCCTAAAACAATAGAAATTGAGCAGAAGTAGTGCAATAGCGAAAGTCTTTGAGTGCAGAATAAATTCTGTTAAGGTTGTTTTTCTCAAGGATTTGTCTATCTCACATCAGATTCAAGTGGCTCGTTATGAAATAAGAGATACAGTTTTTCTTCCATTGTGTGCACACTGTTTCAGTTTTTTTTTTTTAATTTTAAGGCATATGGGAGGGCTGTAGTTGTAATTGGTTAGTAGATGCTGTCCTGGAATTTACTTGTGGGAACAAGCAAAACCACTGAGGAACATCAGTGTGAATACCAAGTCTCTGGACAGAAGTCTGACATGCCCCTATTTCAAGCCAGGCAAACTGATTATGGAAGTGTATTCTTTATACAAGAAATTGGAAATTTCAGACATGAGACAGTTGTAAATACTTTATATGTAGCTTGAGCGACAAAGCTGACCAGTGTAGAAGAAAAAAATTCCTTCACCTGTTTGTTTTTACACAACTGTCAACAATTATTGGTTGCTCATACTTTCTGTGAAAATTCTAAATTAAACAAGTATGAATCTGACCCAGTTTAAGTCATCGCTGTGAAGTGGGTTTCTGCTTTTGAATGATTAGGATTCATAAAATACTGCTCTTTAATATTATTTTTAAAATTGTTATATAATCTCTGGTTGCGTGTGTGTGTGTCTGTATATATATATATATATGGAGATCTCATATCATGAAATTTGACGATATTGTGTTCTTGTAGCTTTGATTTATCAAGCATCAGCACATTGCGCGAATATAAGTTGTTATGTTGAAAATGAGCCATCTTTTGTTTCAGTGTGTCATGTCTGTTTTTTGAGTTTTGATAAAAGTTTGTTGCAGGTGCCAGAAAAGTACCAAATTGTATAAAAGGGTGTTTACAATGATCATTTGTGCTTCTTATTAATGGGAGATGGCATTAAACTTTGGCCATGAGGTGTTGCTTGGTAATCTATAGGACTGGACATGAATATGGGGGAAGGCGCGAGAAGTTAATAATATAGAAGCTTATATAACAAATGAGACAAACCAGTGTATTCTGAGTGGCTGTTACACAAGTATAAATATAATATTGTTAGTAGCCCTTTATAATTATTGTTAGATATAGTCTCGTACTCCAAGAAAAGAACTCTTAAATTGAAGTGTTTGAAAATAAAATGTCAAAGAAAATATTTTGGCCCAATAAGAATGAAATTGGGAATTTGGCATATTACATAAGTTATACATCACATTAGTACTTCGTGGTCATGAAATCAAGAAGGTTATAACCTAGCTCTGATAAGTTGGATAATACTACTACTCTTCATTATTTACTGCAGTCTTTCAAGACTCCTTTCCCAAATATTAATCTAAAATTTTTATCCTCCAAAGAAGTTTAAAATATACTAAAATTCCTTAAATCCAAAAATTCCTTCGGATATGATGGAATATCTGCTGAATTGTTAAGAATAAGCTTGTCTTTTATTAGTTCACCTTTAACTTATATATGTAACAAATTGATATCTCTAGAAATTTTTCCAGATCATTTGAAATATGCAGTAGTTAAACTCTTATTTAAGAAGGGTGAAATATGCAGTAGTTAAACCCTTATTTAAGAAGGGTGACAGGTCTAGCATTTCTAACTACAGACCTATATCTATGTTAAGTTCTCTTTCAAAGGTGAATGAAAAAGTCATTTACAACCAACTCCAGGAGCATTTGAAGAAATACAGTAGCTTATCTGATGAACAGTTTGGGTTTAGAGCAGACTTTTCATCAGGCAATGCCCTATATAAGCTAATTAATGAAACCCTGCAAACTTTAAATAGTGAATCTGCAGTAGGTGGTATCTTTTTTGATCTTTAAAGGCATTTGATTGTCTGAACCATGGTATTTTGTTGTCTAAACCACAGTTTTGTGGTATTAATGGTAAAGTTAAATCATGGTTTGAATCATATCTTAATAACAGATATCAGAGAATTAAGGTTTTGGAAGAATTAAATCAAACAAGCTTCTCTAAATGGGGAAAGATAAGTGATGGTATTCCCCAGGGTTGCCTGAAATTGTAAATAATAATTCTATAACTATATTATTTGCTGATGATACAACTATATTAGTTAAAGGTTCTAATTTAATGGATTTTCAAAATATGAATAACGCCTTTAATTGTGAATATAAATGGTTCAGAACAAATTTACTTTCAATAAACGTTAATAAAACCCATTGTATGCAATTTAAAACTAAAAACAAATTCACAACTGACATAAACATTGTTTGTAATAACTATCCAATAACAACCTTGTCTAATGTAAAGTTCCTTGGCTTATATATAAATGATTCAATAAACTGGTATTGTCATGTTGAATGCATTATCCCAGAACTGAGCTCGACGTGCTATATAGTGAGGAGTATTAAGTCATACATGGCTCTCAGTACCTTGAAACTATTTACTATTCCTATTTTAATACGGTTTATATATTTGGGGAAACTCTCTCCATAGTTTAAAAATATTTAGAATGCAAAAAAAGATAATTAGAATCATGATTGGCTGTAGTAGTAGGGTTTCATGTAGGAATTTGTTTAGAAAGTTGGAGATTTTACCTCTTGCATCACAGTATAGTTTTTTCAGTCATGATTTTCGTGGTTAAAAATAAAAATCTTTTTATTTTAAATTCAGAAAATCACAATATAAGAACAAGACAATCCAATAATTTCTATCAGCCTACATCAAACTTTACTGTATACCAAAAGGGAGTGTATTGTATGGGAATTAGGGTCTACAATAATCTGCCTCCCACATCAAAGAGGTATCTCATAATCCTAGGAAATTTTAAACCTGTTAAAAACATTTTCTCCATATACATTATTTTTGTTCCATAGAAAAATATTTTCGATATAAAACCTGCACAAGTTAATGACTAGTCACAAGCTAGTATCAATCTTTATATTGTCATACTTATGGCATTTTAGGAGTACTATGTTATGATTTGCTTGTAGTCAGGTATTTGACTAGTTCTTGGTTGAGATGTTTCTATTGTTATTACATAGTCAATTTGAATAGTATTAATTATTATGTATTTACTGGAATCAACTATCTGATTCAACATATTTTATTTCATTTTATTCTATTCGGTTACTTTGTTTTATCTATTCTGTATATTATGTACTATTTTGACCTGTTCTATATCTTACGTGTACTGTGGATCTATGAAACGTTAAATAAATTGAAATTGATGTGTAGCTCATGGGGGAGACATAAAATGAATTTAGGATTTTGGCGGCTATACCTTTTGGAAAGCAGGTACTTTGAAGGTCAAATGGATGGCAGAATAATATTGAGGTGTAGCTTTGGGAAGCAGGTAATGAGAATGTGAACTAGATTTGATTCAGGCTTGTGTCCAATAGCAGACTTCGACATTAGCAGCATTGCTACTGCTGCTAGTATGTTTAGTTTTTATTAGATATTTTAAATTACCACAACTGATCTGATTGGAACATTCATAAGGTAATTGCATCTTCTTTCTGTAAGATGTGGAAGTAAACATATCTGTTGTGAAGGTCACCTGAATTGATCTTTCAACTTGAATTATGCAAATAATGTTTTTTCTTTTAAGTATGCATGTTATGTCCCGCATACCTTCAGTTTCATACTTAGTTTTCTCTGTGTTTACTTCTAGACCAACCTCCGTACTAACGTCAATTATAGTGTTTTTTTTTCTCTATATGGTATCTATATTATCACCCAGTAGATTCACATCATGGGCATAGACCAACAGCTGATGTGTCCCATTTAATTTTAGTACCACCTAGTTTTCTTGGACTTTCCTAATGGCATATTCTAAAGCAAAGTTGAAAAGGAGTGGCGATAAAGCATCTCATTGTTTTAGATCATTCTTGATAGGAAAATTATCAGACAAATGTTTACATATATGGCCTTTACCATACTTTTTGTTTAAACACATTTTAATCAGCCTGACTAGTTTCATGGGTATCCCAAACTCTGTCAGAATATTGTACAACATTTCTCTCCCAAGTGACTCAAAGGCTTCCTTGAAGTCTATGAATAGCTAATATGCTGTCTCATTGTACTCCAATTTTTTCTCAAATATCTGAAGAATGCAAAAGAGCAGTAGTTGATCTGTTACATAGAAGCCCACAGTGATGATCCGCAATAATTTCATCTTTGTATGGACTTAACCTTGAGAGAAGAATATTGGATAAAATTTTGTATGAAGTTGATAGCAGTGATATCCCCCGATGGTAACTACAGACAGTTTTATCACCCTTCTTGTGAACTGGTACAATAATAGACTCCTTCCACTGATCAGGCAATTTTTCCTTATTCCAAATAGATTTAATTAGCGTATGGATCTTAGAACGTAATATTTCACCTCCTGCTTGAATAAGTTCTGCCGAAATTTGATCACTACCTGGCGATTTATACCTTTTCAATTTTACAGTAGCACTTTCAACCCAAAAGGGCTAGGATCAAGTAATAATGGCT